TATTGTTTTATGTTTCAATGTCGCTTCATACTCATAACCCTATTTATAACCCTATTTGGTTGATAATTAGTGAGTTGTGTGGTTCTGAGAAGAACCAGTTGGTTTGACTCGACGTTTCGAACATTATTCTTTGTTTGTTATCAGGAAACTGCTGGACTCTTAATGTTAATTACTTCAAAAATATAAACAACTTGAGACTGTATCTAGATATGCAAGATTGAGGCCAAAACGGTTGGACAGATTTCACGATATATGACTAGACCTTTATATTTTAAGATACTGTTAAGTTACACACAATCAGTTTTCATATATAATACTTCCCTGTCTATATAGCTATTAGGTTTGAAAGCAATCATTTTATTAATTCGATAGTTACAGGAGTATAAAAATTACTTTAAATTGATTTCACGTGACCGCTGATGAGGTCATGATGACGAAATGTTTTGGTACATATTTTCAGATGATAAACCAAAGACTGCAATATCCTTCGTCATGCTACTTGGTGTGTGTATAAAAGTGGTATTTGCTAATAATTTCAAACTGCTCCGCTTTTAACATGTATGTAAATAGTTAATTTTATCATTGCCATTCTTATGCAATTTTACTGTAGATGTAACTAATATGATACATGGCAACAATGTAAACACTTGACCTTACAGTGTGTATGAGCCAAATTCCATTGCATGACAACTACCTTTGGTTCGTTACAACATCTGCATATACCCAGCACGATTTGGGGCAGAGGGGTATACCCCCAGTATCCTTTTATCCTATACATACAAATTGATGAATTAAATTTAATTTTCCGTCACTTTTTTTCCCCTTTTATTTTTAAATAAAAATATGATTCAATATTCAATAAAACATCGGGATATAGGCCTACAGCTGTATTTTCATTTTAATTGCCTTTTCGAATCTGAAAAATATTTTTTTGTAAAAATTTAAATTTACGATCGTGAAATAAGTGGAAGTTGGACGTAGCCTTTCTACAAGACCGAGACTTACAGAAAATTATGCAAAACAAAGTTAGGCTAACTCAAGTCACATTTTTTTCCATAGGGCAAAGATGAGAATTGTCCAGCCATGTTTTGGGACAAATGATTCCAACTTCATGTATATTTTTGTATACATGTAATACTAATACTGGAATATCCTCTGTCACGAGTGAATGCTGATCTGAAGAGCAACTAATTGTCATAAAATTCATTGAGACGCTCGAGTACTAATTTATTTTACATGGACGGCTCAAAGAACGTGAAAATGCCTGAAGGTATAGCTGAAACTGTAAAAATAAATTATTTTACTCGACCGTAGTTAGTATTATACGCTTTATCTTTTATAAATAACTAATAATTGTCTATTCCATCTAAGGACAATTTATTCAAGAAAAAAAAAAATTTTTTTGGTAAAGTACAGGTAGCCCAATTTGGATTGATTATAGGAGAAAAAGAATGGAATGAGTAGCCCCATAAGAATAAAAATGTACAATACAATGGAGGTTGACTTTGTTGATCTAATTCTGGAGGCAATCCGTTTCCCAATCCTTAAACTACACGCTGGTGATTTATTTGTAACTGCATATGTATATACAGAAATGAACACCTAGATCTGTGGAAAGTGAATACCCGCGAATAAAATATCCTGTTTAAAAGGACAATAACAATTATTGATTGTTTCAAACATGCAGTTTCCATCTTGTGCATAGATAATGGAAGCATGTTCCATTAGGCCAAAACAAATAAGTCTCCAGTTTCTGGTATGGAGCTTGCCCAAAAAGTGGTGCGGCGATGCGTCTTTTTTTTTTTTTTACCCGATTTTTTTGCTTCAAATGTCGGCTGATGACTGCAAATGGTGCCCGACTAAACTTTAGCGCAATTATATGAGAGTCCAGAGAGGCCACATAAAGCTTTTTCTCGATCGTCACCCCATCTAAAAACACGTTCAAATCGTGCAGCAGCAGAATTCCAGTCAAATCAGTGAGTTTGGTGGTTTTGAGACATCATCTATCATTGAAAAAAAAAAAACTTTTTCATTTTGCCGACGCGCATGGTTACGGCGACGCGCGCGCATACCAGAAACAGGAGACTTTTTTTTGGGCCTTATTCCGACGCCACCCTTTTCATCATATTTTACTCAATGTTGAAAAGACACGAATCTGGGTCTGAGAAACACTTCCTGTATTGTTATTAAATACTCTGAATATGCACTCGACCCTCCATAGACTTACACAAAACCAAAGAAGGTGCGTCCGGCTACTACACTCTTTCCGACACGTTTGACGAATACGTTATTGCGCCCTCTCGTGATGTCTCAGTTTAATTTGAACTATGAACCCGGAAATCACGTGCAGCAATCGACCAATCTGAATGTCTAGGCGATGTTGTGCGGTAAGTACGAATCTAAACCATTCACAAGCTTAGCGATGAGGCGTCTGCACGGTTGAATGAAAATGGGTTATTTTACTTTTTTAGTTATTTGGTTTGGTTTTATCACAATAACTTCTGCTCAGTACTTTGGAATGACTCGTTCTATCGGTGATGGTCATTTGACAAGGAAACGTAAGTACGAAAGCGAATGCTTTTCAGTCGTGTCAGTTCAGTATGAACTAACCCCATAAATGTGGCTAATTGTCCAGTAAATTGGCCACATTTACCGGGCTGTTTATCGAAAGCGAAATAAATTTGCATATAATCAACTTGTTCAGGATATATTCTTACTGTACGTTGCCTTGTCACAGGTGGGATATATATTTTCTAGTCTAATTTAAAAAAAAAAAACACTAGCCTAATATGACTCAGATTATGGAAATGACATAGGCTTTGGCCCTTACCAATGTTTTCAGTGTGTGTACCCGAAGTCAGTCCATATGGGTGTGTTAACCGGTGCTCCCAAAACATCCCTGACCTCCTGACTTAAACCTTCGGTAAGACTAGACGAGCGGTGATCTAGGGGATGCCTCCGTTTGGGAGACTGTGCGCCACCAACACGTACAATGTAGTCTCCTTATAAGGACCGACACAAACCGACCATGGAGGAAGAAACTCCATGAACTGACAGACTGTACACAGACGACGAAGGAACATACAGGCTGACACCTTTAATTACCAGATAACAACGATAATCAAGTTCCTTTAATTCTTATTTGCTTCACTTGGAATGTACAAATCGGTACCTGCGTCAAACTCAAAGGTGCACTACTCGCAGGCGCTTTCCGCCACGCTCTAGCGTCTCTAATTATCGGGCAAACCCATACCAGGTGACCGGGACCGTCCTTCCTTGACCTGGCCTGTCACCGCAAGTTTCAGTCACAACCAGTGTCGTGGCGCAGTATCCAAAGGCACCATTTTCCGTAGCAAACAATGCAAATATAATGAGTTATTGACGCATACGTCACGTGGTGGTTGGATTGAGATGCAGGGTTCAATAGGTCGGGACCCTGCGAGTTCCCGCTTTATAGCTGCACTGCAGACGATACCATTATTTTTTGAGGTGAGTTACATTCATCATAATTTCCTAAAACAGTGTTTACTATTATTCTGCAAGCCAAATTTTATCCCGATAGGTTTTTAATCAACAGAATGACATTAAAGTATCAATTATTTACTTGTATTACTTATTTTTTGTTATTTTTTTTTTACTGTGTGTTTTTACTTATGTCCCTTTTTGATATGGGTTGGCTTTCCCTCAATAGAAGTTCGTCTACCAATAAAAGGAAAGCGCCCTCAATTTCCAACCTCGAGAAAAGTGGGACATTGAAATTCAAACTTTTAAAAATGGATCTTAATTTTCCAATTTTAATGGTTGCATTGTTCGTGTTTGAAACATATGCTTCACTACATTACTTAGAAGACCAACATCCAATTGGTGCAGGTAAATTTACGAGAACAGGTAAGTACGGGACCCAGATAATCAATTTTTTTTTTAATTCTGGTATATAACAATCGATATAAGGCCTAGGCTTGTTACAATTGGATCTCAATGCTATTGCTATTGTTTGTCTACAAGTTAACATTTTATGGCGGTTAGTTGATCAATTTGGTTGTGGGCTGCGGAATAGGCATAAATATCAGGGTATGGATTTGGAGAAACACATATGCAAATTGTCAATGTGGATCCCAAAAGCTCTTGCCTTCTTGGATTTGACACAACTTTATTCAAAATAATTTAAATGAAATACAATTTTTCGTTCTTTATATCAAGGTGATAATTGGTACAAAGCCAAACTATCCTGCGCTCATCAAATTTATTTGCTGAGAAATTGTGTAGTATGTTGGTTGCTCAGTGAAAAAGGGTGGGGGGGGGGAGACAGGTCAAGCTTATTAAAGCTGGTCTCATGGACAAAAAAAGAGCCGTTGTTGATTCATCATGACTATTCTCTGGTCTTTTCAGCAGCTGTTTTACAAAGGGTCAGATTAAGCCCATTCATTGCGAAGCCATGCAGGGTAAGAGTACTAGCTGTTGTTTGTATTTTTATACAAACGCGGATATACAGATTAGTTCAGAGTAGGCTTTTCCCTGATGATGGCGAATGGAGGGGAAATCAAAATAACTGTAGGAAATATATAACGATCATGACGTGTCCTCTACATGAACTTGTTTTCTTTTCGTGCCTGACGTTTTATCCTCAAATTTCAAAGGTCAGTGACCTCTGACACTGACGATACCATTAATTTGTTAGGTAAGGTACATCCATCATAAATTCCTAAAACAGTGTTTACTCTCATTCCAGAAATCATTTTTAGCCCGATTAATTGGTTTCTAACAAATAGAATGACCATTAAAGTTTCACTAATGTTTCAATAATGTTTCAACGTACTTTTATTTTTAAATATTTTTTTTTTCATATCGGCTGCCGTCCTTTCAACAATAGACAGTTCAAGCTTATCAAAGCTGGTCTCATGGACAAAAAAAGAGCCTTTGTTGATTCATCATGACTATTCTCTGGTCTTATCAGCAGCTGTTTTACAAAGGGTCAGATTAAGCCCATTCATTGCGTAGCCATGCAGGGTAAGAGTACTAGCGGTTGTTTGTATTTTTATACAAACGCGGATATACAGATTTTGCACCTATACATCAAGATGAATAATTTCTAATTTGTAACATTTTGTTTAAATTTTAATTACATATCAATGGGAGTTAATAAATACAATATTGAATGATTAATATTGCACTCTATTGCAACAAACATCAGGTACGTATTGATGATCTAAAACTATGAGTAGTGGATGCAAACAAGAAATAGCTTTGCCCTCTTCTACCTGTGCAGTTTTATTAACTAAGTTCACATGCAGACTGGTATCTGTTGATGTATTTTATTAGTGAAAACATGCAAACTAGCAGCATTCAACCTGGTCGGAAATCGTTATTTGTTAGACGTACACGTATATGCGTGTTTCATGCATACACCAAAACAAAATGAGAAATACCTGTCACAATCGCCGTAGAACGCAGCACCCACTGTGGGTGTGTAATTACATGCAAAGACTTGTAGCCAATATGAACCATCTGAGAAAATCGATCATTAGGTGATTTCCTGGCGTACAGTAGGCCTACGTATTTCAGTGTGGCGCGCTATTATTTGGCGCCATTTTCTGAAGCCAACAATATGCAAATAGACTTTGTATGCAATTGATGCAAACGTCGAGGTGCAGGGTTCAATGGGTTGCAATTGAGTGCCTGCGAGTTGCCGCCTTATTGCCTAACCATCATTAATCTATTTTTAACCGTTATATTGAATAAGGTTATTTTAATAAATGAGGTACGTAATTACACGATTTGATGATTTGACATACACATGTAATGTGGTGTGTTTCTTTTATGTCGATTGGTGCGTCAATTGCACTATATGTATCAATAAATTGTTGTTACATGTAAATGATTATACAGATTAGTTCAGAGTAGGCTTTTCCCTGACGATGGCGAATGGAGGGGAAATGAAAATAATTGTAGGAAATATATAACGATCATGACGTGTGCTCTACATGAACTTGTTTTCTTTTCGTGCCTGACGTTTTATCCTCAAATTTCAAAGGTCAGTGACCTCTGACACTGACGATACCATTAATTTGTTAGGTAAGGTACATCCATCATAAATTCCTAAAACAGTGTTTACTCTCATTCCAGAAATCATTTTTAGCCCGATTAATTGGTTTCTAACAAATAGAATGACCATTAAAGTTTCACTAATGTTTCCATAATGTTTCAACGTACTTTTATTTTTAAATATTTTTTTTTTCATATCGGCTGCCGTCCTTTCAACAGTAGTTCGGCCACCAATGAAAGAATGATAGCGCCCTCAATAACCAAAGTGGGAATTTCAATTTCTGAAAATGGATCTTAATTTTCCAATTGTAATGGTTGCACTGTTCGATTTTGACGCAAGCCATGCGCTTCACTACATTAATTAGAAGACGAACATTCTAATCCCTGCAAGTAGATTGCCGAGAACAGTCGCGTTTGAATATTGTCTAAAAACCAACATGTTTTTTTTCCCGTCGGAATTGATTAAAAGTTGTGTGTAAATGGTCCTCTGTCGTCATATAAACACTTAAAATTAGCGCTACATGCTTATATTATTCATCTCTGATATTCAAATACTTGCTTCATAAAAATCAAACTCTCACTTTAGGTTTTTAGACCCATTTTGCTGGTCAGAACCTGCCCTCAAAATACATTGAGTACGATTTCAAAAAAATACAAGTTTGTTGAGGTCTGGTACTACGTATCGAGCAATCCAAAAACATTAAAACAATACTGTTTATATAGTGGGCTTTTAAAATTGGTTAGTTTTATCAAAACAAACCATCTAGCGATAAGAAACCTATTCTATGTAAACAAAAAATCACTATGTCAGGTTTTATGTTCAGTATTTGTTTGCCCTGTGTGGTAGCTTCAAATATCTAAAAAAAAAAAAAAAAAATCTCAAGCAAAAAAGCGACCCACAGAAACGATCGAAAGTCTTTTTGAATCACGTACGTGACCCCAAACAGTGCGAAGTTTGCGATTTAGCACGCATGAGCAGCTGAGTAGAACGACAACAATATACACCAGCATTTTAGATATGCCGGAATGTGCCCGTTGAATACAGCAATGTAAGCAAATAAGCAAGGGCGCTACAGCAAACGTTTTCTGTAACTACAGAGGGAACTGCTTCTCAAAGTAAATGGCTCATCCTAACGTACAGCCTATGCAGTAGTAACATTACGTGTATTAGAAATGTTCCCGATGAGACCTGTCTGTTAGAATATCGACTGGTCACACAAAAATGGCATGAAGGGTCAGTCATAATTAAACAGTATCACTGCTCAGCAGCCTCAGCTCACAAGTGAGAGTAAGACTTCCTCTATCAAACTCCCTTGCGTCATTGTCAACATCAGTCAGATAGGTAATTGAGAACACCGATGCAACTTAAGTATCAGGCTAATTTAGCACCTTACTTATTTAAATTCAATTTATTTTGCAGCTCGGAATGTCCGATTACCGACTTACCTCTCACCGAACGAGGTCGTTCTTCACAGAGGTCAGACTCAGCACATCCGGTGCCCCAGCTACATCAAGGGTGAACGAGTGAGCCTAGTGTTCTGGTTCAAAGGAGAACAACTCCTAGCCCACTATACCCATCCCAACGTTGGCAGTAGTTATGCATCAAGTGGTCGTTATCGGATGTCCCACTCGCATGATTTGATCATAAGTCACGTCGACATGAGGGATCAGGGGGAGTATGTCTGCAGTGTTGTCCCCATCGCTACCGACTTACAGAGGAGGCAGTCGATTTCCGTCACTGTTCTAAGTGAGTATATACTTTTATTGATTGAAGGCAACTATTATGATTTATATATACAATAATAATTAATAATTGTGCTTATATAGCGCTTTCCATCGTATCAACAATCTCAAAGCGCCTTACAATGTTTACCCCGTTCATCAGGCCATGGGACCACACGGCAGCCGATATCAGCGCTCAATCGGTCCTCGACCCTCACAGGTACGCATTTATACTCCTAGGTGGAGAGAGGCAATTGTTGTTAAGTGTCTTGCCCAAGGGCACAAACACCATGCTCCTGGCAGGGTTTGAACTCACGCACCTTCATACATGAGTCAAACACCGTAACCACTGGACCATGGCGATCTACAAAGCTTAATTTCAAAGCAAAATAATCAGTTGCATTAAAAAAGAGGCGGGTTTCATGTGAAAATAAAGCACTTGAAGCGCACACATTCATATACAAATAATCCCTTCGCCCCCTCAAAAAAATAATAATAAGTATAATAATTTAAAAAAATACCCACCCGTCAGTCCCCCCCCCCCCCCGCTTTAAATCTCAGCAGGAATAACTTGTTAGTATAGTTTTTCCAAATATGGCTTTAAGAAATCAAGGAACATTCTTAGTTGCTTTATTAATAAAACAAAATTACTGATGTCACAATCTCTTCTTACGCGGAGCTCCCGTAGGTGGTTACTATCCATTGTAAAAATGTTAATTTTTGCATTCAGCTGATGTCGCGAGCTTTAAAGAGGCCATGTACAATACAGCAAGCGATGCCTACGTACAACGGAACCAAACTTATCACATTCAGTGTCCAAGTTACAGGGAAGGGGAGTCCGTGAGTTTAGTCTTCTGGTTCAAAGGAGGCCAACTCATAGCCCGATTCGACAACCCAGCAGTTGGCACTAACTTTATTTCAAGTCGTCATTACCGGATGTCCAGTTCGCACGGGTTGGTCATAAACCAAGTTCAAGCGGCTGATGAAGGAGACTACGTGTGCGGTGTGGTGCCGACTGCAACAGGGTTGCAAAGGAAAGGATCAGTGCGAGTTACCGTGTTAGGTGAGGCATCTGCATGTATCACTTGCCATAACTGTCAATTAATTACACAATAACTTCTATGGTGGCTAACCTCTTTTCCAGGCTGTCGGATACTGGTTCGAATCCCACCCAATGACCAATACGAATTTGTCTGCCAGTACCCACTTAATCACTCTTGCTTTCCTATGGACTAAATTCTCCACAGTTTTCTCAATATCTAAAGTCTTTCATTCCGTAAAAATTCCCTTTCGCTATTTATGGAAAAAAGAGCATTGTCCTTGATGTTTCATTTTGGAGTGTCTTAATTCAAACTGAATTCATTTTGGTTTTATCAGTATCACATGGAGTTTTAGGCAAGAAACATATTTTACCCTCCGTGTACATAAATATGTAAAGCCCACCCTCTCCTCAAATAGTTATTGCGAACTTCCTGTTAATACAGATTTGTTCTTTTACATTTCCCACAGGTCCCAAATTTCCAATCGTGGACGATGCACAAGTTGTAAACAAAACTAGTCTCAATCTGGAAGGAGAACAAGGACACAAGATGACCTGTCCTGCATTGAGCATCCGCCGACAGGCTGCCACAGTCTACTGGTCCCTTGGCAACGGGGAGACCATGGATACCAGCATCATCGGTGTGAAGTTCGCCGACGGGGAAACCATGGTATCGGATGCCTACCGCGACGATTACATCGTCACCGATGGTGGCTCGTTGGTTTTGAACACATTAGGCATGTCAACCAGACGTGTCTGGTGTCATGTTTTTATGCATCAGCCGGGTCTGTCTTCAGCATATTATGACGTCATTGAGACAGGTCATTCAAAGACCAACGCGCTTGTTCATGAATTGCCTGTTATTGCACATGTTCGTCAATTCCTTGCAGGGCTCAAAGCTCAGTCTGCATTTAGGGCCTTATCTTCAATGCAGTGTAATTTACCTTTTACGTTTGGGGATTTCTTCGTGCTATGTTTCTGTCAAAAAGACATCCATCTGAACAAGGTCATCTGCATGGGCACATTATTCGCTGCCAACTTATTCAGTCATTGTTGACTTTTATTATGAAACATTCAGACTCTGTTTCACCATTGCGATTAACGTTTGTTGATAATTCTTGGCGCGACATTGGAGAGTGCGAACAGCGGGAACGTTGAATATATTGACGAAATAACTCCACGGCGAAGTGGCACTGTCCAACGTGAGATAAGAGATTAGAACTAGGATAACACACATCAGTATGGCATTATTGTCCCACTGGTAGTGAAAAAGTCAGTCATGAAATGATTTTTTTATTAGAAACACATTTTCTGCAACTGCAATTTGGATTTTTCTAGCATTTAACAGTAAATGACAACACTTTTAAACCATTCATATTTCAAGAGATTACACATACAGTGCAGATTAGATGTTGGCTTCATGTTGCTACAGCACATTTTTTTGTGAATAGTGGTTCCATGGTCCATACCCCCTACATCTTCAAAATCACACCCCTTATAAATCCTCGAGAAATTATTTTGTAAATTTTGTTGAAAAAGAACGAGGAGCTACTCTACTCTCCTCCCTTTATATAGTATCTTTCAAAAGTGAGGAAAAAGAAATGTGACCGTTGACAAACTAAGAGAGATGGAAGCCACGATGCAGTCAGTGTGACCTATGACCTGTGACGTGACCTCTGCAATTTACTTATAGATGGAACTGATGGTTCCACGCACGAAACGAAAGAACGGGCCTCTACGATGGCAAGCTGGACAGAAAGGAGAGGTGTTGTTGTTGTCGAAATCCTCCCAGGTAAAAATAATTTCGTAAATCGTAATTTTCAGTTCATAATCGTTAAAAAAGAGAAAGACAGTTGAAAAAATGGTGAAACTGTAATCACAGTGTAATATAATATCACTTTTATAAGACGAAATCAAGACAAGGCCAGCCTAGTAAAGCTGGTCTCGGAGTGCACAGAATACTCTTCAACTGATTCAGAACGGCTATCCATATGAAGTCTTTCCATGCATTTGGTCTACACAATGGGTCGCATTTAGCCAATTCATTGGGTTCTATGAGGTGATCCTATACGATCGCACTCTCCGACTCACACGTGATAGTGAGTCAGCTAGTGAGTCAGTTAATGAGGTAAGTGAAAAAGACAAGACACTACCCTGACCCTCTAGGATCAGCAAACACCTGTTTAACTGTAAATATAACTGTAGCTTTATCGTACATTGGAATATATGTCCTCTCCACGCCCCCTCCCTTTCATCCCTTCATAATACTCCCATTAAATCCCAATGAAATGTAATCTGATGTCATTCATATGTGACACTATATTTACCAATACAGCTGAATCTTGTGTTTCCACAGAAAATTCTTCAGCTGACAGAAGTGAAACCTGTACAGCCGTTCGGGAACTTGCAGCGCTTCTGTTGTCGCTGTTCAGCATGGTAATAGATAAATTAGGTTTGTAAAATAACAACCACAAAGCTGTTCCCAAAATGTTTTTGATTGTCTATTGGACGGTACAAAATGATTGAATGATTTATTAAAAGACTGTCACTTTTAAAATGTATATTTTCTTGAATATTTGCACTTCCAGTAACACTGGAAAAAGGGTCACGTGACCGTCACATTTCATGTGACACAACTTCAGTACACTGCAATATGCCTCTACCCCCCCCCTCCCTAACACCCCCCTAAAACACGCAAAAACCTCTTTTTCCTTTTCCCTCCCCCCCCCCCTCCCCGGAGAGGGGGGGGGGGCGGGGAAGGAAAAAGGAAAAAGAGTTGCGAATCAGTATTGCTGTTAGTTTGATGGGGGTAAGGTAAACGTTCCCCTGTCCACGCTCGGAAAAATTATATATTGAGAATATGTTGAAAAAGTTAAGGAATTGGGGGGGGGGGAGAAATGTGCTTTGCCCCCCCCCCCCCGAAAACATCCTGGCGACACCCATGATCACACTGCTGACTTAATTGCTACAAAATTGTCTAATTAAATATGCATGACGTCATAACAGTATAGTGCATGGTAATGTTAAGCAATATTGTTTTATGTTTCAATGTCGCTTCATACTCATAACCCTATTTATAACCCCGGTTTGGTTGACAATTAATGAGAAGTGATAATAATAGATCTAACGTTAACGCTTCCGGTAACACCCGGAGTGAGTTGTGTGGTTCTGAGAAGAACCAGTTGGTTTGACTCGACGTTTCGAACATTATTCTTTGTTTGTTATCAGGAAACTGCTAGACTCTTAATGTTAATTACTTCAAAAATATAAACAAATTGAGACTGTATCTAGATATGCAAGATTGAGGCCACAACGGTTGGACAGATTTCATGATATATGACTAGACCTTTATATTTTAAGATACTGTTATGTTACACACAATCAGTTTTCATCTATAACACTTCCCTGTCTATATAGCTATTAGGTTTGAAAGCAATCATTTTATTAATTCGATAGTTACAGGAGTGTAAAAATTACTTTAAATTGATTTCACGTGATCGCTGATGAGGTCATGATGACGAAATATTTTGGTACACATTTTCAGATGATAAACCAAAGACTGCAATATCCTTCGTCCTGCTACTTGGTGTGTGTATAAAAGTGGTATTTGCTAATAATTTCAAACTGCTCCGCTTTTAAAAATGTATGTAAATAGTTAATTTTATCATTGCCATTCTTATGCAATTTTACTGTAGATGTAAATAATATGATACATGACAACAATGTAAACACTCGACCTGACAGTGTGTATGAGCCAAATTCCATTGCATGACAACTACCTTTGTTTCGTTACAACATCTGCATATACCCAGCACGATTTGGGGCAGAGGGGTAGACCCCCAGTATCCTTTTATTCTATACATACAAAATGATGAATTAAATTTAATTTTCCGTCACTTTTTTTTCCCCTTTTATTTTTAAATAAAAATATGATTCAATATTCAATAAAACATCGGGATAGATGTATTTTCATTAATTGCCTTTTCGAATCTAAAAATTATTTTTTGTAAAAATTTAAATTTACGATCGTGTAATAAGTGGAAGTTGGACGAAGCCTTTCTGCAAGACCGAGACTTACAGAAAATTATGCAAAACAAAGTTAGGCTAACTCAAGTCAATTTTTTTTCCCATAGGGCAAAGATGAGAATTGTCAAGCCATGTTTTGGGACAAATGATTCCAACTTCATGTATATTTGTGTATACATGTAATACTAATACTGGAATATCCTCTGTCACGAGTGAATGCTGATCTGAAGAGCAACTCATTTTCATAAAAAAAATTCAGTGAGTCGCTCGAGTACTTATTTATTTTACATAGACGGCTCAAAGAACGTGAAATTGACATTTTCTTTGGTATAGTAGACTTATCCCTGAAGGCATAGCTGAAACTGTAAAAATGAATTATTTTACTCGACCATAGTTAGTATTATACGCTTTATCTTGTATAAATAACTAATAATTGTCTATTCCATCTAAGGACAATTTATTCAAGAAAAAAAAACAAATACAATTTTGTAAAGTACAGGTAGCCCAATTTGGATTGATTATAGGAGAAAAAGAATGGAATGAGTAGCCCCCATAAGAATAAAAATGTCCAATCCAATGGAGGTTGACTTTGTTGATCTAATTCTCGAGGCAATCTGTTTCCCAATCCTTAAACTACACGCTGGTGATTCATTTGTAACTACATAATATACAGAAATGAACACCTAGATCTGTGGAAAGTGAATACCCGCGAATAAAAAATCCTGTTTAAAAGTACAATAACAATTATTTATTGCTTCAAACATGCACTTTCCATCTTTTGCATAGATAATGGAAGCATGTTGCATTATTCGGACGCCACCCTTTTCATCATATTTTACTCAATGTTGAAAATACACGAATCTGGGTCTGAGAAACACTTCCTGTATTGCTATTAAATACTCTGAATATGCACTCGACCCTCCATAGACTTACACAAAACCAAAGAAGCTACTACTAACACTCTTTCCGAAACGGTTGACGAATACGTTATTGCGCCCTCTCGTGTTATTTATTGTCTCAGTTTAATTTGAACTATGAACCCGGAAATCACGCCAGCAATCAACCAATCTGAATGTCTAGACGATGTTTTGCGGTAAGTACGAATCTTAACCGTTCACAAGCTTAGCGATGAGACGTCTGCACAGTTGAATGAAAATGGGTCATTTTACTTTTTTAGTTATTTGGTTTGGTTTTATCACAATAATTTCTGCTCAGTACTTTGGAATGACTCGTTCTATCGGTGATGGTCATTTGACAAGGAAGCGTAAGTACGAAAGCGAATGCTTTTCAGTCGTGTCAGTTCAGTATGAACTAACCCCATAAATGTGGCCAATTGTCCAGTAAATTGGCAACATTTACCGGGCTGTTTATCGAAAGCGAAATAAATTTGCATATAACCAACTTGTTCATGATATATTCTTACTGTTGCCTTGTCACAGGTGGGATATATATTTCCTAGTCTAATTAAAAAAAAAAAAAACACTAATATGACTCAGCTTATGGAAATGACATAGGCTTTGGCCCTTACCAATGTTTTCAGTGTGTGTACCCGAAGTCAGTCGTATGGGTGTGCTTGTCTTACATACGCAGTGTGGACTTCCGAACAAAAGACGTCCACATAATGTAGGTAGCACCGACGAAGTGTGGACTTGCCCACGTCCACACAGTGTTTCCCCATTTCTGGAAAACAGGTTTAGAGGCATTTTTGGGTTAGGTTTATCTGAAGCAGAATGAAGAGAAACACTAAAGGGAATCATTGAAAAAAAATTGGGTTGTAAGAGTTTTCACAGTTTGAGAAAAATGAGTTTTTCCACTGGTGTTCCTTAACTACACGAAAAGAAAGGAAAGTCCACACTAGGTATGTGAAACAAGTCTGTGTGTGTTAACCGGTGCTCCCAAAACATAGGTCGCCCTGACCTCCTGACTTAAACCTTCGGTAAGACTAGACGAGCGGTGATCTAGGGGATGCCTCCGTTTGGGAGACTGTATGCCACCAACACGCACAATGTAGTCTCCTTATAAGGACGGACACAAACTGACCATGGAGGAAGAAACTCCATGAACTGACAGCCTGTACACAGACGACGAAGGAACATACACGCTGACACCTTTAATTACCAGATAACAACGATAATCAAGTTCCTTTAATTCTTATTTGCTTTACTTGGAATGTACAAATCAATTAACAATAATCACTGAAACGGTACCTGCCGTCCTGCGTCAAACTCAAAGGTGGACTACTCGCAGGCGCTTTCCGCCACGCTCTAGCGTCTTTAATTATCGGGCAAACCCAGGTTACCGGCGTCAGGACTCTCGAGATCCCCAGTGGATAGCAGACACACGAACCAAGCTCCAGACCCTGATGTGTCTCCGGCAACGTCCGTTTTCTGTGAAGCTCTGTGATCAACTGCAGCTCTCGGGAACGTTCTGACCGTAAGGTCAGAACCAAATTCTGCTGAATGCACATCAAAAATCTGTCAGATTTATCTAAAATCTGCCAAAATCCCCCAAATTACTCGAAATACACTATAAACGCTTAAAATCACATGTAGATTGGTATTATTGCCTTAAATAAGATTCAAATTACATAATAAACAATCTAGTCACAGAAAGATGCTGTGAAATTATTGGTAAATAATTCGGGCGTACGCGGATCCGGCCACGACCAAGTCCGTTCCCAGTGAACCTCAACACCTAGACCAGCCGACCTGTGCACCTGTCCCATTTGCAAGGGTTGTTTGAAAAGATTGAAGATTTTTAAACAAATGTACACTGTTTTGTTCAAATTTACTGGTTTTTTTCTGTCAAAACTCGTTTTTTTCGGGATTTTTTGACAAGGTTGGCCGAAAATTGGCTAAAACGGTCACCCTGCTCGGGAACGCGCACTGCTTCACCAACAGAGGGCACTACGCAAGCTTGCTGCTGCTCGCGCTATAGAAACTCGCAGCAAGCACGAGGAGCGCTATAGTATTCTAAATAATAAAAAGGGCACTCACGGTGACTCACCTTCGGAATTCAAGAAATAACCTGTTTATGTTTCCGGTATTGGAAACTACATAACAAATAGAAAGACAAAATAAAATCGCAACATTTGACGATGTTGGTTTAGGAAGGCAATTTCCTTTGATCGCAAAAAAAAAACCTTTCTTTGATCAGCAGTCAACTTAATATATAAAGGACGCAGGTAGTATAATTTTTTATGTTTTCCTTACAATTTGAAAATGCACCTATATGTGTACGTCCCATTTTAACACTATCTTCAATTTTGGTTTTGCCACTTGGAAGGTTATTTTGGAGCCCTTTTGGTTTTTATGCTAATACAAGTTTACATATTCACGAGCTAACTGTGATGTCATTCCGGGCAGAAACCTGAATGTTACAGCTATATCAGAATAAAACTTGCTAGAATTGTGGATATTTTGCTGTCATAAAATGTTCTTTTCCTTGGTGATTCGTTGTTGAGTAAAAACATGGCAGTAAGCCAGTGAACAAACTTTTCTCGCAAATGTTATTTAATGAGCAAACTGATGCTGGAAAAACCAAAAAAAAAACTGTTCTTGTTATCTGGTTCCCTATCCTACTTCAAACGAAGCAGAGCAATATATATACGTCGGAAATTGTTGAAACCGATTTCAAGCAAAATGTCAACTGCATTTTATCTGCACATTGCCCAACTTTACGCCAGATTTTCAGATTTTTAAGCCTGCAGGGAAAGTCAATAATTATTTCCACATTGCAGGTTTCAAACAATCATTTTTATCTTTATTATTATTAATGTTATTACTCTTATTATTATTATTAAATCTTGGTGTAACAGAATTAAGTTTGAACGTTTAATTGTCATGTATTTTCAGCTCGAAGTACCCAATTACATGTATCGACTTACCTCTCACCGAACGAGGTCATCATACACAAAGGTCATACTCAGCACATCCGGTGCCCCAGCTTCATCAAGGGTGAACGAGTGAGCCTGGTGTTCTGGTTCAAAGGGGAACAACTCCTAGCCCGCTATACCCATCCCAAAGTTGGCAGTAGTTATGCTTCGAGTGATCGTTATCGGATGTCCCACTCGCATGATTTGATTATAAGTCAAGTCGACTTACAGGATCAGGGGGAGTATGTTTGCAGTGTTGTCCCCAGCGCTACTGGGTTACAGAGGAGGCAGTCGGTCTCCGTCACTGTTCTAAGTGAGTATATACTTTTATTGATTGAAGGCAACTATTATGATTAGGGCCTGTATAGACGATGGAACATTTGCTTACACATTGCATTTGGCTGTCACCTGATGCAAACTTTAAGCAAACGGGTATCTTCTGCACTCTGTATATAGCACTTGAATATGAATTTTTCAAAAGAGTGTTGACATGTACTGTTTAATGTGAGCGAAATACCATAGAAATAATGCTTAAATGTTTGGGTTGCCTTCCTTGTCGGCATGACGTCACAGCTAGAGCACATGGTGTATACTACTACTATCACATTGTTTGTCCAAGTGCACTTTCCCAAATTATGCCAACGTATAGAATGAGTTCTGATTTACATTGACCAATATTTTATATATACAATAATAATTCATAATTGTGCTTATATAGCGCTTTACAATTATTACCCCGTCCATCAGGCCATGGGACCACGCGACAGCCGATATCAGCGCTCAATCGGTTAATTGTGGTTAAGTGTCTTGCCCAAGGGCACAAACACCATGTTCCGGGCAGGATTCGAACCCACGCACCTTCGTACATAAGTCAAACACTGTAACCACTGGACCATGGCATCTTACAAAGCTTAATTTCAAAGGACGATAATCAGTTGCATGAAAATAAGGAAGGGTTTAATTTGAAAATGAAGCACTTGAAGCGCACACATTCATATACAAATAAGCCCCCCCCCAAAAAAAAAAAAATAATAATGATAATAATAATTACCGGCAATGGGGTAATAGGGAGACTTTCCCATAGACCTGTGCACAACAATTTTCCGATTTAAATGTGCCCTTACCCAATATTCCCTTGTCCTTTTTCCACGAATTTCGGTATTTTTCGACAGCAAAGTTTTTCCTCTAAAGGGGGGCTGCGCCAATAGGGAGACACCTAGGTGTCTCCCTATTAAGCCCGTGTCTCCTTACTATCGAAATTTCTACGCTAATGTGTCTCCCTAATAGTACATTTGACTTTAAGAAGTTGTTTTATTAATAAAACAAAATTGCAGTGATAGCACTGATGTCACAATCTCTTCTTACACGGAGCTCTTGTGGTTTTCTATCCACTGTAGAAATGTTCATTTTTATGCCTTGTCCTTCCGTGACCACGAATTCGTATCCTTGTGGAGACACACACACAAAAGGGAACAAAACATTGTAAAGGTCTCCGCATGGCAATTTCTATAGATGAATAGGTCTCCACAAGGTTTTCACGAAATAGATATACGGGTTTTACTCAAAAAATAGGAATTTCCAAGGTGGGTTGATCCGTCGCAAGGAAACTAATTCTGGTTAAAATAAGAACATTTTGAAACTTCACTTTCAAAATTGAACACTACACGAGAACAAAGAAATGTTTCCACAAGGATACAAATTTTAGAATGTGTGGGTGGATGGGTGGACAATAGGGGGTCCCCGATTGCAAGCAAATACACACTTGGGTGGGTGGGTGGGTGGGTGTGTGTCCGGACAAGTCTTATCAGCGCGATAACTTGAGTAATACTTAACATATGAACTTCAAATTTGGTTTGTGGATTGTTCTTGGTAATTTTAAGGGTGCACGCCTGTAAATAGGCCCAAAAAACATCCGCCAAGCTCATGAATAAAAGTTGTACCCTCTAAATATTCAATATTAGAGAGTTTTGAGAGCCATAAAACTGGGGAATTGAAAAGATATGGTAATGAACCTCTGGCCCGGACTTGGGGCTTCCAATTCTGAGCATTTTGGATGCCATCTAGCTCGAAAGTGGTTGGCCATGTTGTGGAGGGATCGTTTTTCAAGATGGCTTCTTTTCCGCTTATGGGGGTCGTCTTCTTTGGGTGAGAATATCTCGAAAAGTCAATGGGCAACCCACCAAAAAAATGAAAAAGAAAATGAAAGATGACACATTGATCATCATTTTTCTGTGCAGCTTGAATACCTGTGGGAGTTCTGAGTATTTTGAAAACAATTTTGAAGTAAGCGCATTTAGCACTAGTGTCTATGGGATTTTTTTTTTCTGCAGGGTTGCATCGCTAAGAAGCCTTTTGCATTAGGGACCGAAAGGTCAAGGGTCAATACGTAAGGTCACAGTGGCTAAAACAATAGAAATATTGTGAGCGCGATAACTTGAGAAATACTTTACATGTGAACTTCAAATTTGGTTTGTGGATTGTTCTTGGAAATCCTAAGAAGCCTTTTGCATTTGGGGCTGAACAGTCAAGCGTCAAGGTCACAGTGGCTAAAACAATAGAAATCTTGTCAGCGCGATAACCTGAAAAATACCTTACATGTGAACTTCAAATTTGGTTTGTGGATTGTTCTAAGAACTAAGAAGCCTTTTGCATTTGGGGACGAAAGGTCGAAGGTCAAGGTCACATTGGCTAAACAATAGAAATCTTGTCAGCGCGATAACCTTAAAAATACTTTACATGTGAACTTCAAACTTGGTTTGTGGATTGTTCTAAGAACTAAGAAGCCTTTTGCATTTGGGGACGAAAGGTCGAAGGTCAAGGTCACAGTAGCTAAAAAATAGAATTTTGTATTTATTATAAAACCCACAGAAAAACACTAATGATGTCAATGAACGTTCTTTGTGACCCAAGTACATGTACATGTAAGTTGATGTTAAAAGAGTGGTGTTATGTGGAACAGTCACGGTTGTGGGGCATTTGTGTTTGTAAACACACCTGACTTTTTTTTTTTTTTTTTTTTCATTTAGCTGATGTCCCGAGCTTTAAAGAGGCCATGTACCGTAAAGCAGGCGATGCCTGCGTACAACGGAATCAGACTCATCACATTCAGTGTCCAAGCTACAGGGAAGGGGAGTCCGTGAGTTTAGTCTTCTGGTTCAAAGGAGGACAACTTATAGCCCGCTTCGCCAACCCAGCAGTTGGCACTAACTTTATTTCGAGTCGTCATTACTGGATGTCCAGTTCGCACGGTTTGGTCATAAACCATGTTCAAGCTACTGATTGTGGAGAGTACGTGTGCGGTGTGGTGCCGAGGGCAACAGGGGTGCAAAGGAAAGGATCGGTGCGAGTTACTGTATTAGGTGAGGCATTTCCACGTGTCACTTGGCATAACTCTTAATTAATTACACAATAACTTCTATGGTGGCTTAACCTCGTTTCCAGGCTGTTAGATCATTCTTTTCGAATCCCACCCAATGACCAATACGAATGTGTGTGTCAGTACCCACTTAATCCCTTTTGCTTTCCTATGGACCCAAAATATCACCACAGTTTTCTTAATGTACACAATTATTCATTCCCTAATAATGCCCTTTCGTTTTGGTGTCTCTTAGTTCAAACTGAAACCTTTTCTGGTTTTATCAGAATCAAATGGAGTTTTAAGCAAGAAACACATTTTACCGTGTACATAATTATGTAAAGCCCACCCTCTCCTCAAATAGTTATTGCAAACTTCCTGTTAATACAGACTTATTGTTTCATATTTCCCACAGATCCCGAATTTCCAATCGTGGGCGATTCAGAAGTTGTAAACAAAACTAGTCTCCTTCTCGAAAGAGGGCAAGGACACGTGAAGTTGACCTGTCCCGCATTGCGCATGGACCAACAGGCTGCCACTGTCTACTGGTCCCTTGGCAACGAAGAGACCATGGATACCAGCATCATCGGTGTGCAGTTCTCCGATGGGGAAGCAATGGTATCGGATGACTACCGTGGCAATTACAACATCACAGATGGTGGCTCGTTGGTTTTGAACACATTAGACATGCCAACTAGTCGTTTTTGGTGCCATGTTTTTACAGATCAGCCGGGTCTGTTTTGTGCATATTATGACATCACCAAGACAGGTAATTCACATACAAACGGCACGTTCGTGCGCATGTAAATTGTAGCGCTCAAAGATGTTTGTTTGCGTGTATACTTCCATGTTTACGTTTGACCTTTTAATTTTGTGCTAAACCCTTCCATATTTCTGTCAAAATGATATCCACCTGAACAAGGTCCTCTTCATGGGCATTTGATAGCCAGCTTATTCAGTCATTGTTGAATTGTGTTATAAACCATCAGACTCACTCTGTCTATTTTCAATCCATTTTATTGATAGATCCTGGCTCAACAACGGAGAGTGCGACCAGTGGGAAGGTTGACCGTAGTGACGAAATAATTCCTCAGGAAAGTGATTTCTACAAAGGTGAGATAGAACTAGAATATCACGGAAGAGTATGGCCATCTAGTCCCATTGATATAGTTAATCAAAGAAAGGCAAAGTTACAGAAGGCAATCCATGCTTCACAAGTATTTTGTTATGAACTCAAAGTCTATGGAACCTCCGTCAACCACTTGATGTTGTGGTTATACTCTTGGTCGGGTCACACACAAAAATGTTCCATCGGCTTTGTAGGATCATTATCCTAAAAGCGAATGGATACAACAGCACACAACAACATACCTTAATCCACATGTTCATTTTCTTCTTTCACTAGGCAAGGCACCTTACGATTCCATAGCTCTCTCGCCAGCAAAGATTCCAGGTGGCTCGGCTGTTCCTGTTCTTGTTCCTGTAGTGTGTCTACTCGCTGTCTTAGGCTTTTTCATCTTGGTGAAGAGGGGCATCAGAAATGAAGATGCGAAGAGTGGAATGCAAACCCAAGGTAAGAAGTGAAACATCAATACATGTACGTGAGGAAGGGGTTGTTGTAGCATGGTACTTCAACTGTGGAGTTATTGCTACCGTAGCTGATTTTGTAGATGTTGTGGTGGAATGTGCTATAAACACTGCATGCTTTTAACTAAACCCTAAGTTTGTTCTCTTAAAACGATTTCAGGGCAAACTTCGAACTCAATCCCCTTCCCATGTCAGCTTGGACGTCATTTCGACAGGTAGCCGAAAGGCAAAACGAACAACTCAGCATCTTTCTAGTGTAAAACTTGCTAATAATTAACAGTAAAATGACAACACTCTTAAACCACCCATATTTCAAGAGATATAGTGCAGATTAGATAATGGTTTCATGTGATTACAGCTAATTATGTAAATAGTGGTTTCATGGTCTATACCTCTTCATCTTCAAGATGTGTACACCTCTAATCCTCGAAAAAATATTGTGTTTGTTGAAAAAGAACGAGGAGCTTTTCTACCGCCCTCCTTTTATATCATCCTTCAAAAACGTTTTAAAGGAATTGTAACAAATGTTTGGAAGCCATGTTGCAATCAGTGTGACCTATGACCTGTGACACGACTTATGTCATTTATTTATAGATGAATCCGAGGCCAATCAGAGTGCCAAGCCGAGAGAACCGGCCTCAGTTGCCGCAAAATGGACAGAGAAGGGAGGCGTTGTAATTGTAACTGTCACTTCAAGGTAAAAATAAAAAATAAACAAAATTAATGGGTCATTCGTTGTGGAAAAAAAAGACAATTGACAAGCAAACTTTATTTACAATTCAATAACTTCACTTTGAATATAATGAAACAAGACAAGGCAAGCCTAGTAAAGCTGGTCCCAAAGCGCACAGATTGCTCTTTAATAAATTCAGAATGGATGTCCATTTGAAGTCTTAGATGCATCTGGTCTATAAAGTGGGCCGGATGTATCCCACTTATTCTAGTTTACAGCATAATCCTATACAATAGAACTGTCCAGTTAAACACCTGTTTAACTGTAAATATATAAATTGTCCCTTTAGGCCAAAACAAAAAAGGTCTCTGATTTCTGGTATGGAGCTTGCCCAAAAAGTGCTGCGGCGACGCGGCTTTTTTTTTTTTTTACCTGATTTTTTTGCTTCAAATGTCGGCTGATGACTGCAAATGGTGCCCGACTAAACTTAGTGCAAATATATGGGAGTCCAGAGAGGCTACATAAAGCTTATTCTCGACCATAACCCAATCTAAAAACACGTTAAAATTGTGCAGCAGCAGGATTCCAGTCAAACCAGTGAGTTTGATGGTTTTAAGACATCATATTTCATTGAGCAATTTTTTTTTTTCATTTTGCCGACGCGCATGGCTACGGCGACGCGCGCGCATACCAGAAACCGGAGCCTTTTTTTGTGGCTTTATCAGGTATTGGACAATTATGTCCTATCCGCCCCTCCCTCTGTTTCAAGCCTCCATATTTTCTCCCATCAAATATCAAGGATGTAACTAATGACATTCATGTCTGAAACTCAATTTTCCAATACAAATGAACCTCATGGTTCCACAGACAATTCTTCAGCTGACAGAAGTGAGACTTGTACAGCCGTTCGGGACTTCGCAGCGTTTCTGCTGTCACTGTTCAACATGGTGAAAAATAAATTCTAAATAAAGGCATCATGAAAAGAGGCTTAGGTGCTATGAAATGACACGCATAACAATAAAATTAGTCATCGTAGCATATAGAGCGCCCTCACCGATGACTTGCTTAGTCCCACTGTATATATGCTTGTTTGACACTTTGCACTTTCATTGTCGCTAAATTGAAGTCACAAAACAAGGGGCTGACTGACACCAATCAACACTTAATGCACTAAATAAATCTTTCATTTTAGTTCTAGAGGTTAATCTCAACCGAAACTCTGTGCATGTAGCCATGTACACCTGTTTCCGAAATACATATGCAATTTGTAAATTATTTCTAACTGCTTCATGAAAGATGAGCCTTTTAAATTATGTAAATTGTTGATTTTTATTGTCATTCTGCAATATATTTTACATGTACATGTTGTAAGAAAAGGTGCTGTAACAAGGCGTATACTAAAGTTTAATAGTGTGTAGAAAGCGAATTACATTGCATTTTTATCTTTGTAAACAACTAACCTTTTTGAAACATGCAGTTAAAACGCCTGCAGATTTCACTCGTTGTAATGTGGTTGAATGATTCAGGTGGAACCATCTTGCCAATGGTGTCGATGAAGTTAACCACTTGAGCAGAAAAATCAGTTTCCCCGATGCACGTGAGACATGTGCAAGTTGCGTGTCTTGCATTTCTTCAGCCTAGTCAGAGCTATGGAGCTGCTGCATCGTACAAAATAATGCATATTACAACCAAAATACTATTTTTTTTTCAGTAAGGAAATTTGACTGTCCTGTCTATTGCATTGTATATATTCTTCCATCTTGAAGAGTGATATTGATATCGATGTGTGAAGTCGTAAGTTAATTGTGAATCGCTAGCACGTGAATGATTCTATCGTGAATAATAAAATAATAGTCATGACTTTTGGAAGCTTTTTTACACCGACATTTCTGTTATAGTTCCACTGAAGCTAATAGGAAGGAAGTTTATCATGTTAAGTTATTTTCATGGCAAGTTGCTGCAAAATTATTGAAGATGTATTTTTTTTTAATTGGTGTATATACCTACAATCTATTCCAGCTTTCTATTCTTTTGAGTACAGCTTTGTTGAAAGTAGTTTAGGTGATCAAGTTCAACATATTAAGATCATTCAAAACCATTGCTTTTATTTATGTAATTGAGTTTATTGCTCACCAAATTTAGCGTGAAGTACGGAGTTAACTCTCCATTGCACTACTTTAAAGTGATGAATAAATTCGTGCATGCCGCATTCGAGCAAATCACAATTTTAATTTGTTCTGTGTTTTTATTTTGCCAGTCCCAGCAGTTTACAACAATTCGCTGCACAGTGTTTCCTTCAAATTATAAACACATAAAAGCTAAGGCAAACACTTCTTTTGACACCCAATAATTTCAGTCCAGAATTGTAACCACATTAGCCATTCTACAAGAAATTAAAAAGTCACCAATTATGCTTCAGCTGTCAAATATCCCCAAAGAACGAGTTGATATATACGCGCTGACTTAGCTGTCCTTTCCTTAACCCTGATAAGAAAGTGCATGTGCGCTAACTTAGTTTTCCATTTTCTGGACTTTTCGATTACTGTTTTGTTTGCATTACTCCAAGCACAATAGTAAACTATTACGTTTGTACATCTCATGTAAGCAGAGCGTGTGGGCCTGGTGGTAGGTACTCTGACACTCATGCCGGAGGTTGTGGGTTCGATTCCCACCCGGGTCGATATACCAGCAGAGCAGTTTATTCCTGGATTCGAACCCGGTTCGCCGGAACAGAAGCTCCGTGATTTACCTCCTGGCCACCGGCACTTCTGCAGCAGGACTTTTAATTGTAAATATATGAAGCTTGTTTGTACTTATAGAGTGAACGAAAAAATACAACTCTAGCCGGGTTTTCAGCCTGCTACCTCTAGACTCAGAGCAGAAAGATCTACCAAGAGTAGAGGCCACCACCATTTTCGAGGGGGGAAACAATTCACATATCTGTAGCATCGTTTTCTAACTGGAAAATTATTTAAAAAGAAATAAGATGTGCTGGGTTGGAATCGAACCTACGATCTCCGACTTGTGAGTTATCAATCTTCGATGACACTGACGTCTTCACTGGGAGTTCCTCTCAAATCTCAAATAGATAGAGATTCGTTTTCTACTCGAAAGTACATTTTGTACTCCCAATTATATTTTATACTCGACAATAAAAAAGCTCACTCTTTGAACGGGGCTAAATCAACTTATATTCGAGTTTTCGGCACTCAGATTTGGCATGATACTGCCGGCTACTTTTAAAATGGCGCCCTTTAATATCTAATCTCCTTCTTGGAGATTGGACACAATTGGGGCTGGTACTGGGCCGAAGTGAAACCCTGAATTTGAGAACGATATTTTTTTTGGGGGGGGGTTCGATGCTTCAAGATTTAAAAATCCTCAAATTTCTATTACTGTTAATAACAAACTGGTACTTTACGGAGAACTTCATCATCTAAATAATTATCTGCGCGTTCAGTCAAGTCCGGCAATTTAAATTTTACCAGTAGGCCTAGATAAATGATCTTGTTTTCTTATTCCTTCTTTCCACAACAGACTACAGGATGAGTCAATAAGACACTTGGATTAATGTTTTCCCCTTAAAAAGCAATTACATTTGATACACCACTAAAGCACGTGTTATATACGAGGATATTCTTCCACTCATGTGGGAAAAAAAGAAATACTGAAATTGATTCATGGTATATCAAAAGTTAGCCATGTTTTAATAACAGAACCCATTATTTTCACAGCTTCCTCTGGAATGCTGAATGTTTTGAAGCTGAGTGAGAACCAGAAATTACACACGGACATTCATACACAAATTAGATTTTAATAATTTTAGTCAAGACTGAAACATTATATTTCTCTGTGTTTTGAATATGGGGAACAAATCTTCTTCTTTTTTCCTCTGAAATTATGACATTGAGTTTCGTCCGTTTTTCTTTGCACGTTTCCGTTCATACATGTGATAGAAAAAAAAAGCAATGTTCGTTATAATTAAAAGGTAATCATCAATGCGTATCGGTAAATGATCAGCGGTGGACAGCAAAACGCTGTGGTATTTCTATTAAATTGAGGTAACTTTTGATAAAAGCATGGAATTTACTGGACATTTTCACGCTGATGAGAACCTGCGTTTTATTGCTGTTATTGTTGTTTATATTAAATGGAGTAAGCCATATATTTTAAAAAGTATTTTTTGTTTATCCTACTCGTTCACGTTCTCTTAGGTTTGTTTACTTCTTTGCGTGGTTATGTTGAATTGAGGTGAGCAATAATCGACATTTCAATCCATAATAAATTGCAATTGCCTGTCATGCCCTATACAGTGTATACCGAAACAAAAATCACATGTCATGCTGTTTCACTTTCTATATTTACATATCGTGTGTTCTTTTAAAATTGTCTCTTTCTTATCCAGCCCTGACCAGTTGGCGCAAGTCAGATTTCACCCGACCCATTTAAGTGTCTCCTGTGCAGTCATGCATGAAAACTAAGTGAAAATGTCACCAAAAGAAGCAGGAAGAGTTACTCTAAAATTACATATGAACATATCTTATCTGAATTGCTACAGAATAAAACTACGGCCAATTCTAAAAGTGTATATTTTGTGACTCGCACTGTATACTATCTTTGGCCGTTTATTGCATGTACAGTAGTTGTAATAAATAATGTAAATATAGAAAGTGAAACAGCATGACATGTGATCTTTTTTGCGGTATATCTGAAAACAATCAACCAATCAATCAATCCAGGTGAATACATATGATTATAACTTTGTGCAAACTACCACACCACATGCACTAACACACGATGGCAGTAGGTAAGCGATCTTCTTGCGGATACCTGTTTTTAATTGTCTCCTTCTTCAACAAATGTTGCTCAGGTAAGTAGGTTGCCAGTCTGTCAATTGTCATTTGTGATATTTTGGGGGGATAAAAACCTAGAGATTCGCGTTTGTTGAGTTATAAATGCTAGGTGATCGGACTGAAAACTAGTTCGTATGACACTGCCCAGTTGTGAATATTGTTTTATGTCACAATAGAAAAACAAAAGATTCTGAAATTCAGCCATTCCAGTGAAACCATTAGTTTTCATGTTAACAAAGGCATCTCTGTATTATGATAAATTTCAATATACTTTTATGAACACGTACACGTTATTTCTGGTTTCATGACGTCATCAGTAATAATATACAAACTGAATGCTGATTAAGTCAAGGAGGATATTTACTCACCATGAAGTAACAAGAACTTCTGAAGCTGAAGATCAATATTGTACCCGATATCATTATTTGTGCTACGAACATGGGGGAAAAATCATTCTAAATTCTCCCAACGATAACTTCAGGTACGATGACGTCATGATTCTGAAACCTTGCAAAGTCATTTGTGGTTGTTTAAAGAGTATCTAGGGGCAATGTGGTAAAATTGTAATAAATGTTTTTTAAATTAAAAATGTTCTACTGTCTTTGAAGAGCTGCCAGAGGGCGTCCTTTTTTTTTAACATTCCTCACCAAGGACTTCCATAATTTGTGTATCTGTTGTAAATAGCTTTCATTTTCAAGTTATATTCAATTTTCACTGTACTTCCGGTAACATCGGAAGTAAAGGTCAAACGGCGTTGTGCCTGGGAATACAAAATATTGCCCGAGGCAATGCCTTACCGATCACCAACAATGAAAACGGCACTCCAATCATTTAAAAGTAAACATCCAAAGTAATCAGTCCACCATTAAACTTACACAGCTTGTGATTTGATACCTGATGGCGTCATGATGACGTCACAAAAGTTATAACATCTTCGGACTGAGGTCCTACTTCATACCAGGTTTTATGATCACCACCTCAACCGTTTGGAAGAAATCTTGGTTTGTTTTGATTAGAGGCTCATTCTATATTTTGAATTCACCTAACTTTAATATCCCGATAGCCCCAGAAGGAAAGGTCAGACGACTTTGACTTACATTTTCATTAAGGTATGGTCGTTCAGGTCGCAGAGTATGTGCGTGATAGTTCATTTTGTTCATGAGTTATAAAGGACAAAACCGTAATATTTTTTTTTAAATCGCTTGTCATTTCATACCTGATGACGTCATCATGACGTCAGAGTAATATATACACCTTGGATCAGTTGTGGGGAATTATTATCAGGATATTTTTGTAAATGTTTTAATTTTATTTTGTAGTCGGTTTCATGGGCGTGGTCACTCTTTGGCCTTTATGAGGCAAATGTGCACAAAGTTAACAGTGTATTACAGTGAAATCTCGATAATTCAAACCGCACAGGAACAGGTTCGAAATTCTACTTAAGCAGAGTTGTGAGTTAAGCAGGGTTTTATATCATTGTTATACTACTGAAGGGAATGGACTCTTTGTTGGACTTAACAGTTGTTTTGAGTTATCAGAGTTTGACTTGTCGAGATTTCACTGTATATCATAAAATATTCTGCTTCAGTTTGTTATTGCTTCCCGAAATGGACTAATACAATATCCCAATGTCATTTTCTCCAGTTTCTTCGCAGGAGGTAGAATTGTCCAGAATAAGTCGGTATGAAATAGAAGGGCAAGGGACGGAGTTTAAATGTACAGTCGGAAGAGAATATTACAATCGAGACTATTTCTCACACTCAGTCTGGCTCCTTAACGGGTATCCATTGTTCGAGCACCCCGACGAATTTCCAGCAACGCTGGAAAGTAGCAAAAAGATAACGCTGCACAGAAACCAGACTGGATCCACGTTGATGTGTCTGCTGCATCCGATTGAGAAAAACTCGACCTTGACACTAAACGTAATGTGTAAGTAGTCCTCTCCTTTAAATATTGCTAAATCTATACCTTATTCTTTAATTTGAACGTGATCCACATGCACAGCGTTCGATTACTTCCCCCGCGCCTATACTCGTACAACCGCAACTGCTTTCGATATAACCCTCACGTGACTTGTCGCGCTAACTAGAGTCTGGCTCAATGGTTCAATCCAGTAAATATGCCAAAAATCCGTCCGCCGAGCTCATGAATAAAAATTATGCACTTAAGTTATTCTATATTTTAGAGAATTCAGAGAGCCATGGAATTGGGGAATTGAAGACATGTATAGCACTGCACTAGGCTCTGGCCTGGACCTGGGGCTTCCGATTCTGAGCATTTTGGATGCGATTCGGTCCGAAAGTGGCGCTATTTAGCCATGTTGTGCAGGGAACCTTTTTCAAAATGGCTTCTTTTCCAGTTTGGGAAACATCATTCGTTTTAGGGGTGAGAATTTCTCAAAAATGTATTGGTCAACCCAATAAAAATTGAATGGAAAATGAAAGACGGTCATTGGTTTCTGTGTAGCCTGAACAGCTGTGAGAGTTCTGAGTATTGCTAAAATACTCAGAACCACCCCAAAGTCACGATATAACCTCAAAGTAACCGACCCTAAAGTAACCAAACCGCCGAGTCTATTTTGAGTTTCTGCAACCCTGTGAAAAAAAGTAGACTGAATCCAGGTCCCTACATTTTCGATTCTGGTTGAGGGCGGGAACAAGCTTGCCTTGCGAAAACTGAACTACTGAACTCGGGTTGAAAATCGAAAAAATGCTTGGTCATAAAATTACGGTGGTTTTATTCTAGATCCACCAAGCGCCGTGACCCTGCATGTCAACACCACACATTCATGTGAGAGCGACACGGAGTGCAGCGCTGATGTCACAATCGGAAGTCGCTATCGATTCGCCTGCAACGCGTCAGGTTCGAATCCAGCCAGTAACATCACCTGGCTGATCAATACCAAGGCCCGTTCGGGGATGGGACAGACTGAGATCTCTCCAGATTGGAGCCAGTCACGCCAAGATGAGACCAACGAGGACTGGGAAACCTCGAGTCGGATCGATCTGCAGATACTCCCAGAGCATCACCAGGGAAGCATCACATGCAGAGCGATGTTTCCCGACGGAGGCACAGTGTTCAGAGAGATAACCGTGAAACTGAATGTCGACGACAAACATGGTATGTTAAAGAGACCAATTTTGTTAAGTCGAGCTGGGCACAAACGTCTCAGTTGAGGAAACTTTATATCAATTGCTTGCTGGTGGTGCCGCCTCATTCCATATTGCAAAGCTCCTAATGCTGATGGTCATATTATATCTTATATGTCTTATTTCTCACAGAAGCAATGCTGCTCGCCATCCTTATACCAACTGCGGTGGCTGTGTTCATAGTCGGCGTCATTGCAACTGTTTGCAAATTGCGGTCAAACATCAAGCGTGAAAGAGCAAGAAGCTATAGAGGTAAAGAGGCTGCCATCGAGAATTATTCAGGCAAAAAGCTACCGACTATTTCAGTTCTTTTGTAATGCACAAAGAGGAAAGCAAATTTTGTGATAAACAAAATAATATTTGCCCTTTCGAGCCGAGAGTCTCAATTTAGGACTCTGAGACACCTCTGAGACACATTGTACTTTAAATAACTGAATTTAAATAAGGCACGCCGAGCAAGGGGTCTAAAACATGGCCGTCTCAAAGTTTTGATGTTAGAGACAGACAGTTGGAGACAGTATTCAACTTGCATGTGAACCTTTTGGATGTTATCTGCCAGGGAAAGGCATCTTCTAAATACCGATCATTAGCTATATAGGAGCTAATCATATCCGTCTTAAAACAAACAAGACGGAATCTGTACTCTCTCTCTCTCTCTCTCTCAGAGGGGCTGATATGCATGGGTCGACACTTAAATAAATAAAACAATTTAAATGAACCAAGGGGCCCACTCACCAATAATCACTTTAATACACTGCACTGTAAATAAATCTACCCTTTTACTTCGTCCTACTAGCGGTAATTCTCAACCAAAACTCGGTCCACAACTGTTCCCCAAATACATCTGTGATTTGTAAATAATTTCTAACTGTTTCGAGAAATTTAAACCTTTAAAAACTGCTTGATAATAGTTGATTTTTACTATTGCCATTCTTCTACAATGTTGTTTTTTTGGTACATGTACATCATTACTTATCTTCAAGCAAACTTGAATCCTCGATCCTGATAGTTCGATCTATGGAAACAAACCATGGGTTAAAAACCACATATCCCACATCATAGCAGAAAAAAATGTTTTGTAATATCGTGCCAATAAGTCACACAGATAAATGGTTGAAACATACTTTGCAAGAAGTAAATTAAAGCCAGAGTCCATCATTTGCAGCCATCAGAAAAGTAACTGGCGTAATTATTGTTGAAAAACATACTTGGTTAAAAGACAGTAAGGGAACTAAACTCCCTGTGAAAGTACTCTTCCTGGCAAGCTGTCATTTTGAAGTAATCAACGAAAGAAGGCCTATCCAACTGTGCGTCTTAAAGGTAGAGTCCATCATTTGTAATTTGTGCATTTTGTTCGATTGAAGCAACAAAAGAGTTCAAAATCTAATGAAGGATACTGAGCAACTAACCTGATGAAGTTTCAGCTAAGCTTCAGCTGTACATTCCGAGAAAAACAGCATTCTAAGATCTCAATTTCAAATCAAAAGTTGCTGAATCATGTTTTGAATTGTTTTGAATTGCAACTATACGCGACGTCGCGCACTGATCCGAAGAATTATAACAACCGCGCGCGCGTGTGCGTCGTTCGAATACTTGTGCGCGCTGCGCTGAATAACAAAACGAACTACTAATTTAAATTTTCCTACGGTGCTTCTTAAGAATCACCGTTGGAAATGCCTTCTTTCGTTGATTACTTCAAAATGACAGCTTCCCAGAAAGAATAATTTCACAGGGTGTTTAGTCTCCTTACTATCTTTCAACCAAGTTAGTTTTTCAACAGTAATTACGCCAGTTACTTTTCGGATGGCTGCAAATGATGGACTCTACCTTTAAAACGCATCGTAGGAAAATTTAAAATAGTAGTTCGTTTTGTTATTCGGCGAAGCGCGCGCAGGCATTGGCACGACGCACACGCGCGTGCGGTTTGCTATAATTCGTCGGACAGTGCGCGACATCGCGTATAGCTGCAACCGGCTCAGTGAGAACGTGTTTTGGACGCTGAATTCAGGCCCAATTTAAAAACATGACTTAGCAACTTTTGATTTGAAATTGAGATCCTAGAATGCTGTTTTTCTCGGAATATTCAGCAGAAGCTGAGCTGAAACTTCATCAGGTTAGTTGTTCAGTATCCTTCATAAGATTTTGAACACTTTTGTTGCTTCAAACGAACAAAATGCACAAATTACAAATGATGGACTATAACTTTAAATCACTGTGGTGTAACCTTTCATAGCTGCATGCATTCCTGCAGGAATTGTGACATGAGACTGAGTGGTTGCAGTTCTCAGTCGCGAGTGCGACGCACAACGCGCAACGCGCGTAATTAATAAGCAGCGCAGTGTATATGACGCTTATTTATAATTATGGAACACAGTGTATATGATATAGTTTATATGCAACGCAGTGTTCATGAAATTAACGGTTACGTTTTTACAGATTGGACACGTGGCCGTTCTAAACCAATGAAATAACAGTATCCAAGCACATGATATAACAAATGGCGCTATCCAATTCGTTAGTTAAAAGTCATACCCGCGCGCGCACCACTGATTACTAGCGCCCATTGGATAAACGTTCGGGGTGCGTTAGCTTCCGGTTCCATTCGTGCTATGCTACATTGTGTGAAGAATACATGGTTGACTTGAGATGACGTCACACTAACGAACCGGATAACAAAGATGCACGCGCCATTCCTGCAGCACGCACGTATACAAAGGATGAACGCTGGTAGTTCGCGGACAGAGTGCATGTTTCATCTTTACTGCGCGTCAAGTTTGCTTGAAGATACATTTGTTATGTGTTTTTGTATAATTGTATATCTGTAACCTATTTGAGGTAAATCTTTTCTGTACAACTTTGACGAAAATAGTTTTGCATATCACGTTCAACCTTCTATTTCACTTCTTTACTTCAGTATAAGAAAGTGCTGAGTAAAATGTGTAACATGCCGCATTTGAGAAAATTAAAGTTTCAAACTTTGTTTTACTTGCAGGGATGAGATTGTAAATCAAAAAGTATTTTAAAAGATGCATATGTTTCCGTACTGTAACGTCTTTCTCCCAGATTCACAAAATCTGATGGTAGACTAAAGTCTGGAAACTCTCTCACCTGTCTTTGCCAGTCCTAGTAGTTTACACCAAATTCGCTGTACATTGTTTCCTCCAAATATAACACATGAAAGTTAAGGTAAAAACAAACACTTATTTTGACTCTCAATTTAAGTACGGAAATATAATCACAACATAGACAATGTATTAATTTAAATTCGTTTAGCGTTAATAAAGGTCCTGTCACGATGGAGACGGGCCCTCTATTTTTTTTTGGTTAGCTATAATCTCAGTTTAATCCAGTCAGTAAGCAGTGTTGGCAACGGCTGTATTTCATTTTTCATAGAATACCAAGGCACAGTTTGCCTTTTCTCTAAACTACTCGAAAGTACGTTTCCCTTTAAAATTTTTTTTTTTTTAGCCCGTAAAATTCACCAATTCAGATTTCACAATAATATTTTTAGCTGATATTTTAGGTTTCCCATTATTTCCGAGCGCCCCGTTTTATTAGCTTGAAGTCCAAATGTATTTGAACATGTGTGCTATTTCTCGATCATAAGGCTAGTGAGTGCATGGAGCTAGATTTGTATTAATGGTTAGTGTGTTTTCGTACTTTTGGTCAAGCTTTAGGAAATTAAATTTGGGTTCCCAACTTTCTCTTCGTCGAAGACATTTCCGTTTCTTAAAATTGCCGAACAGTACTTCCTTTTTGGTAAGACATTTTAACTGTCACCAACTGAAGTTTTCAAATATCCCTCAGAACGAGTTGACATACGCGCTGACTAAGCTGTCGTTTCAAGGTGGGAAAATGGAGTAAGAAAGCGCATGCGCGCTTACCTTATATACAGATTTTCGCTCGCTGTTTCGTTTGCATTGTTGCAAGCAGAATACTTATATATTATTTTTTACATGTCACGTACGAAGAGCGTGTAGGCCTATAGTTGCTCTTTTATTGGCCTACTTGTGGTTACCCTGATGCTCATGCAGGAGATTGTGGGTTGTATTCCCGCTCGGCCAAACATCCACGCAGAACATTTTACTTATTTTTTACTTATACCGCTATTTATATATCAGTTAATTAAAAAAAAGGCAAATAATATTTGGGCTGGCGCTGCCACGGAACACGAACCCGCCACATGTTTTCCTGCCACGGGTCGTCTCTTCCCTGGCCAGGACTCGATCGAACCCGCGACCATCCACCCACTTCCGCACCGCACTCTCTACCGGGTACCGTGTTTTAATTTTGAATATTAACAAACTAGCACTTTAAGGGGAACTTCATCATGTAAATATCTGCGCCCTAATTACATTCCAGCAATCAAGCTATATTTTACCAGGGTACTTTAATAACCTTGGGCCTTTTTTTTTCATTCCCCCTGTCCATAACAGACTAGGTTTACTTCTTTGAGTCTAGGTTTACTTCTTTGAGTTGTTAAGTTGAAATGATGGCATAGTGCCCGACATTTTGTCTGTACTGTTTTCAGCTATAATGATTTTAAAAAAATGTAATAGCTTTTCATGGCCTTTCGTTGACCTCACATTGCTTGTGGTAAAAATAAATTAAGCAAATGTAGAAAGTGAAATTGCATGACGCGATCTTTGTTTTGTTAAATCAAGCAAGCTGACTAATTACGATTACATATGAGTTGCTGTTTCCTTGTGCGAATTAACACACCCAACAATGGCCTCAGGTAAGCGAGCTTCTATTGGTGTCTACATGTTCCTACTAATTGTCTCCATCTTCAACATATTGTGCCCAGGTAAGTAGGCTGCCACCTTTTCGGAACATTTTTTTAAACAAAACTGAAAAGAAAAACAGGGTTAAGCCAATCAGTGACACAATTGTAGAAAGATCAGTCGACATTCACATGAATCACGAATTGAAACGAAAGCAGTAACTTTGTGTGACAGTTTCTCGAACATATGTTTCAGCTAAACCTTAATCTGACAACTTTTTTTTCTCGGGAATGCTTGGTGTTGAGATTTATTGGCTATTTTAAGGCTATTAGGAATACCTGAATTATACTGTTTTAGGTCGTGAACCTGTTCAACTTAACAATCAACGAGAACAAAAAATAGCCGACATAAAAACAAGAAAACCTTGGGAAATGAACATTTCAGATAAGTTCTCTTTATTTGTGTTTGTGTGTGTGCAAGCATTACTTTCCCCTATGGGAGTTCCGAGCAAAAGATGTCACCATAAACCAGGTGTCAGATACGTCGTGTGGACTTACCCACGTCCACACAAGGTTTTCCCCTCTCTGGTTCAAAGGTTTTTTTGAGTAAGCTTTATTCGTCGCAAAAAAAAGAAAAAAGAAACACTCGAGGGAATCATAGTAATCAAAGTGGATGAAAGAGTTTTCACAGTGTGAGTGAAATGAGGTTTTTCTTAACTACACGAAAACGAAAGAATGTCCACACTATGTATGCATCGTATGTTTGTGTTTGTTTCTGCATTCAATAGGGGACGTTGAACAATAGAGGACAATAGGGTCCCCACTTCCCGAGAGCTCCCCAATTTGGATTCATGTACAAAACATATGGGGGGTTTTCAAGAGTACAAAGAGGGGCAATATAGCAGGCAAATACACACTTGGGTGTGGGTGTGTGTGTGTGTTATTATCTGATTACTGTGCGTGGTCACTTTTTTAGCCTGTGAGGCAACTGTGAACAAAGTGGACAGTGAGATTTTTCATAAAATATTCCATTATGGTTTTGCTTTCCAAAATGGAATAATATAATATCCTATGCCATTTTCTCCAGTTTCTAAACAGGAGGTAATATTGTCCAGAATAAGTCCATATGAAATAGAAGGGCAAGAGACCGAGTTTAAATGCACACTTCAAGGAGACAATTGGCAAAATATCACACAGTTTTTTTTCTGGCGCATTAACGGGACAATTGTTGATGGGCCCGAATCGAAAGGACTTCCGTTTGAGAGTCGCCTGAAGACAAAGTTGTACAAAAACCAGACAGGATCCACGTTGATGTGTATATGGCACCCGGCTGATGAAAACGCGAGTTTGACGTTAAACGTAATGTGTAAGTAGACTAGTTCTATATTTCATCCTAAATCTATTCCTAAAGGTAAACAAACTCGTGACTTTTTGAAACTTTTGTAAAGGCAGTTTTAAACTAGTTTTGTATCAACAAATAAGGTATTCACAAACAACTTATTAAAGAAAGTAGGCCTATACGTGACCCAAAACAACGCAACCTTGGGAGATTTGCCTATTTTTTTTCAAAAACGTGATCTGTGTACGTTAATGTTTTTGATATTAGATTAAAGCTGAGAGCTTATTCTGTCAAATACTGGAGGGGGGGATCATAAAAACATATTGGGTTACCGTTAGCACCCAGTCAGTTTCCCTGTGTGGTTCCTTTGAAAACATATTAACTCTTGATTGAATTTAAAGATGACTGTCTGTGTACTACAACAGATCCCCATTAAATGTTTTAGATCTGGAAGGAGCTTCTACATGTCAATTGGTGGTCGGTCGGTCGGTCAATCCGATCGTCTGTCTGTCTGTCTGTCCCCGAAATCGACCAAAAGTATGATGTTCCATATGTGCCATCGGCGTCGCATTTTTCAGCTCCGGCAGGGATTATTTGGATCGATTTCATGCAAGACTGTCATGCAAGGGTAGCAACGCTTCTTGCAAATCGGCTAGAGCTTATTGTGCACTCGCACTTGTTTTTAACTGTATCATTCGTGCAAAGGGGAAATTATTTGGAGTTTCTGCAGTCTTCTGACTAAAGGTGTTTTTTTTTTTAGTTTGCGTTTCCTCGCAAACAGCTCCGCCTTGCGAGTAGACCGATTTCCGGTCGCAGCATTCGTGATGTTGATTGGAGGGAACCAATTTACCCTACTTCTGTCAGGTCGTCAAATATTCATAATTTGTTGAAAGTCATTCCAAAATGATGTGTGCCGATTTTCACGTTCAATATCCCATTTTAAACATTTTTTTTTAAACGATTTCCTTTTTCCCCGGGTTTAATCTAGATCCACCAAGCGCCATGACCCTTCAAGTCAACACCACACATTCATGCGAGAGCGACACGGAGTGCAGCGCTGATGTCACAATCGGAAGTCACTATCGATTCATCTGCAACGCGTCAGGTTCGAATCCAGCCAGTAACATCACCTGGCTGATCAATACCAATGCCTGTTCAGGAATGGGACAGACAGAGATCCCTCCAAATTGGAGCCAGTCACGCCAAGATGAAGCCAACGAGGACTGGGAAACCTCGAGTCGGATGGACCTGCACATACTCCCAGAGCATCACCAGGGAAGCATCGCATGCAGGGCGATGTTTCCCGACGGAGGCACAGTGTTCAGAGAGATAGTCATGAAACTGGGTGGGTGAAAAAGACGAAGTTTGCTTAGTGGAGCAGACACGAAAGTTTCAGTTAAGGAACCTGTTATCTCAACAATAAATTACTCACTGTAGGTGCGACCTCCATAATGGCTTCTATTTTGAATGGTCGTATAATTTAGTCTATACATCCACCGCGTTTCGGAACTCAAAAGCCCGCCAGCCAGTGCCAATTATTTTGCCCCCCAAATCGCGACAACTCTGGACATATAGCTTCGTGAACTCAAAACTCCGCCAGCTAGTGCTGATTATTTGCCACCCATGTCGCGACAACTCAAGACACCCACGTTCGTGAACTTTAAACTGCCCTAGCTAGTGCAAATTTGTCCCCCAAATCGCTGACGACTTTTGATGTCAAGATTCTTGAAGAGCTAGTGCCAATTACTTTGCTCCAAATTCGCGGACAATTCTAGACACTTCGGTTCGTGAACTCAAAGCTCCGACAGCTAGTGTCAATATGTCCCCTAAATCGCAGGCAACTCAATGACATACACATATTGTGATCATTCACTCTCTGTGATATTCAACAAATTTGAGTCTTTTCTCCCAACAAATTGTCAACTGTATCTTCTATTTTAGCGGTAAGAAAATCTATTATGAGTTTCTGCAATCCTCTGAAAAACTGGGTTTGTGCGTGGACGATAAATTCCGCTTAGCGGGTATACTGATTCCCAGTCCCTACTATACCTTCTGGTTGAGGGCGGGAATCAGCCTACCCTGTGAAAACTAAATTATTGTAGGGCCTGAAATAATTAAAAATTTGTAAAGGGGGAAATGGGGTGTGACATAACAATATTGTGGTTTCATTCTAGATCCGCCAAGCGCCATGACCCTGCATGTCAACACCACTCATGCATGCGAGAGCGAGACTGTGTGCAGAGGTAATGTCACAATCGGAAGTCGCTATCGATTCATCTGCAACGCGTCAGGTTCGAATTTAGCCAGTAACATGACCTGGCTGATCAAACCAAAGACAGAGATTCTGCCAGATGGGACCCAGTTACGCCAAGAAGAGGCCAACGGGGACTGGGAAACCTCGAGTGAAATCAACCTGCAGATACGCCCAGAGCATCGACTTGGAAGCAACACATGCAGGGTGATGTGTCCCGACGGAGGCACAGTGTTTAGAGAGATGGTCATGGAATTGATTGTCAACGACAAACTAGGTTGGTAAAAAAAGATCAAGGTTGCTTAGTCGAGCTAGGCACACAGGTCTGAGTTGCGAAAACTCGTTACACTCATACAATTACCCACTCGCTCGAACGATGATGGGGGAGAGTGTGGTGCCTCCTTTGCAAAGGCTTCTAATTTTGATGGTCGTGTATGTTTTGTCCTATTTCTCACAGATATACTGCAGCTGCTCGCCATCATCATACCGGCTGCGGGGACTGTGTTAGCAGTCGTCGTCATTGTAACTGCTTGCACACTGCGGTCCAATGCCAAGCGCGAAAGAGCACAAGAGGTTACAGAGGTAAGGCTGCCATTCAGAATTATCCCGGCAGAAAGCTTCAGAATACTTCACTTTTGGGGGGGATAAATAACAAAACATGCCCTCAGTGAAGGCACACAGAGCAAGGTGTCTATAACGTGGCCGTCTTTAAAGGTTTTGAAGTTTAGACAGCCGGTGTAGCGTGAATGTACGTTTTTATGAAATTCGGACTCATTGGTAATAACGCGCATGCGTAAGTATGGTAATTAGGAAAGTGACCGGTCACGTGAGAGGGATTAACCAATAATAGGGAAAAGGGGTCCGATTTTCATAGGAGTCGGATTTTCATGTGACACCGGTCAGAAACCCCGTTTCACCTGCATAAGAACCTTTCGGATGTTATCTGCGATGAAAAGAAATCTGCGATGAAAAGAAACATTATAAGTCCAAAATATCGTAAGACATAGAAACAATCTTAGCTGACGGAAACAAGCAAAACTGAATTCTGTATGTATTCTATCAAAGGTAATGGAGGAAGGCACTACGAAGAAATGTAACTTTCCCCGGAGCAAGATTACGCTGTTCGATGTCATTGGAAGTGGGAACTTCGGTCAAGTCTTTAGAGCGACTGCAGACGGGATACTGCAGGAAGGAGTCGAGACGGAGGTGGCTGTGAAAGTACTCAAAGGCATGAAACTGATTATACATGAAGACACTACAGATTGTGGATGATGACCTACCCGCTACACTAACCTGCACCATGCAGACATTTGCTGGTCCCACAGGGCCAAACTGGTGTCATCTTTGTACCCATCTCACTGACCGACTAACTGACTTACTCTGACTGACTCTACCTCTGTGCTGGGCGGTATTTATTTTTCTTTCTCTCTGGTAATGAGACCAATTATTTCTCAAAAGTGCCCTAGGCACTGCAGCTCGAAAGCCCGAGGAAACCTGTAGAAATAACACGAGAAGAATTTAAAGTTTTAGAGGTGGGAGGAATACCCCGAAGAACATTCTGGAGAAAACCTATGGAATCAGGTAGGGACTAAAAACCCAATCCACATGTGTACCAGGACAGGGTTCGAACCCAGCCAACAGTAGTGGAAGGCGCGAGGACAGTAACCACTGCGCCAACCAGACTCCCTTGTCGACTTGGATAATTACCTTGTAACGCCCAGGAATGGGTCCGGGTAGATCTGGCCCACTGGTTAGACCATAATGGAAGAAAAGGCTTCCAATTGATAGCCATTATTATTATTTGAGTATTACTATGTGCGCTTTGAGGCCAAGTATACTAAGGTCGCTTAGTCTAGTATTATAAGATTGCACACGGAGATACACCTAACCGCTATTGGCGACCATTATGACCTGATTTATTGCCATTTTTTTGTTAAAATTGTTTGTTTGTTTGTTTTTTTGTTTCAGAGTCTGCTGATGGAGCAGCCGTCTGTGACTTCAAGAAGGAAATCGCGATCCACAAAACTTTGAAGAGACATCCGAATGTAGTCTCCATGTTTGGATGCTGCACTGACTCGGGTGGGTAGCTGCACTGACTCGGGTGTGAATTTAGTTTTCAGATAATGGGTCGTATCAAGATTAAGCGAAATAGTCAGGGACTACAGCTATAACGCCAAAATACATTCAGCAGCCATTTTTTTTAATAGAGGTGTATTTTGTGTTCTTAAATCAGTAATAATGAATACGCAAGAGGTAGAACAAAACACGCACCAATAAAATGAGAGGTTGGAATTAAATACAGATGGGCTGATGAGAATATGACGATTATTTTAGAATCTCAACTCCGACATGCCCCTTTTGACTCTTTTTTTCTTCTTATAATCTGTTTCTCAGAACCCTTCGTCATCATTCTGGAGTTACTTCCAGGGGGCAGTCTACAGGGTTACCTGAGGAACAAGAAAAAGGCATGGATGGAGGAAGCCGTAGAAGGCGCTAAACCTGTCCCTCCATCCGAGCTGCTTGCTTTTGCCTCTCAGATCGCGAGTGGCATGGAATACCTGTCATCAGTTGGGGTACGTGTGGGAATACAAGATAAAGAAAATCATAAACAGAGAGTAAAAACATTCAGACTGCGGTCAAGATCAATGTCGCAGTCACGTGGTTCATTATCTAATGCTGATCGCAGACAACCATGTTGTCACCACCATAATACATTTGATGTAATCTGGTCAAACAACTATAGCTTTATCACCTAGAAAGAAATTAGAGACCTGTCTGTACTGATGACCTCTAGGGTTAGGGTTAATGTAAGTGTTAGTGGGTATGTAAACACCGGCAATCGTGGACCTAGGACAAAAGGGTTAGGGCACACGCAATACGACCTACGATTGACCGATAGCCCACGATTGAAATTCGTGTACAAAACCAATGAGAGCTGTTGCTAAAAAGTTCGAGTACAAATAAAGGAATGAGGATTACGGACAATAGGGAGTTCGCGATTGCCGGTGTTTACACAGATGCGTGTGGGTGTTAGTGTTAGGTATGAGTTTATGATTAAGTGTGCGTTTATGAGAAGACCATGCAAAATCCTGAAAAATCGACAAGGTGGGGGGTCAGCGAATTAAGTTCAAATCTTGGCCATTTGATCCCCACCTGAGACGATACCACTCGGTGGAGTAGCTCGATAAATAATCACACGGTGGCCGAGTACGGGGCCCTAACAATTTTGAGCAAAAAGGGTGACTTCCGGGGAGTAAATTTGTGTTGTTTTTGGTGTAAAGTTATAGCCTCGTTTATACCCTTAAACTAAATCGTTTACGGTCGAACTACATATCAAAAGAAAGGGTTTAATCTCCTCTAAACGATGAAATATAAATCTTTGATATGCAAGCATTCACTGCGGAGATATAGGCGTAAAAAAAACACGTATCAGCTCTATTACGAAATGAAGTCCTTTACGCGGTTAACCATAACTTAATTAATGCAGGGCTGAGAGTCCACAAACTTGGAGGAAATATAGTTCAGATATCCGACTACAATAATACAAAATAAAAAAACTGTCAGCTCTTCTTCTTTTTGTTTGCTCACGGTCAACAAAGTTGAAAAATTCCTAATTTTCAAGACCAAACCTACATAGCCCCTAGACAGTTCCGAGTGCAATTGGTTGACATTTTGCAGGAATTGTTGTAAGGGCGTAACAAAATCTACATGTTGCAGACTTCACCTATTGGGTGGGTGGGTGAGTGGGCTACCTTTGGTAGTGCGCACTGATCCGGTAGGAGGGGAACGTTCTGTTGCCACCCACCCAGTTAGCGCGCGGTATCGAAAGAGGGCGCCCTCATATTACATTACCGTCATAATGGCAGCCATGGACATGCCGTCTGTGCGGCTGCAATGTGATTTTAGTAATTTAGTGTTGCAAAGCCATCGAATGTGGTGTAAATCCCTCTTATCTGCGCGAACTAAATACAGTGCAACTTAATCGATGCACAAAAGACATACGGAGCCATTTGTAGAAGTGGAAAGTCGCTGCATATGATGTGAATGTCGAGTGGAAACTGATCCTCCTGCGCCTGCGATGTGGTTTGTTCGACGTCGATGCATACACTGATCATGATAAGACAATACGTTCAGCGCATAGATACAAGTTAGGGTTGAGTTGGACATCATCAAGGAAATGTTGTCATCCACTCCATAAAGGGAAAGGCTAACCATTCCGTGGTGTGAATAAAGCAACTAGCCGTGAGATCATAGATGTTTGATCGATGGGGTACCCTGATCACTGTTGTGTTGGAACAGGTAAGAAGACAGAAATCAAACAAAAATACATTTTTGAAAATTGAAATGAATTAATCATGGTCATGGTCCATTTCTGATCAACTGACTTTGTTCCTGGGTAGGTTATATCAATTAAATCCCTTATCATGCAGTTGACTTGGGACCAGTGAAATTTATTATTGTGTGAAAAATTAATACTGGTTGTCACAGCTCTGGTTTTCGGCAGTGGACACACATGGTGGATATTTAGCCGGAGCTGGATTTTGAATTTATTTTTTTTATATAAAGAAAGTTGGAACTGCACTGAACATGCGCAGTTTGGGGAATAACACATATATTTTTTTTTGCACTTACATTGTTTTTTTTTTTTTTATTCACGAGATGTGACTCATCTGACCATTTACAACTTCAGATTTGTTTCCTCTTTTATACAAATCTTCCAGAGCCAGCCACATCAGAAAAAGAAAAAGTAATAAGTGCAATTAAATACAGGCAATATAAAATAATAAAAGAAGATTTCTTATTTTTATTTATTTATTATTATTTTTTTTGCGGGGGGGGGATTTATGACATGGGTTTTGTTCAAGGCATCTATTGCTCAATATTGTTGGCTACATACGCCCCGCTTTATATCTTTTACTTTAAAAAAATATTAAGCCTGCTGCGGCCTTAACACTTTGTTAATTCTCACTGTTGATATGACTTTCAGGTATCTGTAGAGGTTGTCTATCTTAGCACAAACAAGCAGTTACGCACCAGACAGCGGAACAATTACCATCTAGTGATGTGCTCTCTAAGGAACAAGAAGAGCATCAGTGTACAATCAGTGATTTCACATCGCCGGTAGGTGTACCATCTCTCCAACCCACCGACACAGAGTGCACTTCAGTTCATGAGGTAAAGAGAGTGAACTAAGAATGGACCTTGACATATTGCATCTCATTTATCACAGATGAATTGTAAGCACTCTTCTTTGAGTACATCAATTTGTATTTCAACCCTATATGAAGCACGCATCTCACTGTTTTTATTTTCTCATGATTATTTCTAGCATACATCTGAGTCCTCATCAACTGATGGAGATATTACACAGGATGTAGGTACACTTGACTCTTCTTGGGCAACAACCCCCTGACCAAAGAATGTGCAGCTGCAATCCCTGAACACTTTCCTTACTCAGGGGGGAATGTCTGCTGTTGATGGGCAGCTTCGTCTGTCATTAGAAGAAGCATCTGATAGCACCATCCATTATTATAGAAGGAAGGCAAAGGAAGCCTTTGGTTTAGTTCTTCATTGTTTAGCACCAGGTCAAGAAGATGGGCTCATGAAGATTACAATCGGTGAAACAACTGCTGAATCATCACAAAGTGGTCAAAATTTTGATAGTAGTGCCCGTCTTCCTTTTTTTTTTAATAGAGAACTAGAGATTCGAGACCTCAGAATTTGCTCTTTATAAGCAGCAGTAGGACATCTTTGTAAAAGTGTTCTTTATAACAAAAGTCGACTGTAGTACTACCATTTTACTTATTTGGTGGGGTGGATAACAGGTTTAAGGTTTGGATAAAAATTAATTGGATCCTTTTTGATTATTGATTTTTTGAAAGGTTTTCCTCAAATTTTGGTTGGTAAAATAAATCATTCTTTTTTGGTCTTTCTAAAAATTTGTTTGTCATTGTTTATATTTATTCAAATTCCTCTCTACTTGTTCCTACCCCATCTAGGTCTATCTCATTTTTGACAGCGAGTACCCCAACATTTAGCGTTTTTCTCATTCAATTTATTATTTTCCAAGTTTATTAATTTTCCGGGTTACATTAACATGCCAAAAAATAACAGAATTGTCATCCAAGCCTCATTCCCATCATTCCCACATTTGGTGCGCGATATGTGGCAGTGTGTAACCCCCCCCCCCCCATTGTGTCTTCATTGTGTTCTGGTAATCTCAGGAATTCTTTAAATGATTATTGGGGGATACTTCTGTTAACAAAAAGACAAGTGTGTGTTGAGTATAGGGACATTTGTGGGGACTCCCTCTGCCACAAATCGGGCAGGGTATACATTCCATCCTGGACTCTGAAAGATGGCGGCCATATTGATTTAAAGTGAACCCCCCTACCCTAAAAATGGGATAAATTAAGGAATTATAGCACCCCTTATGGCGTCTCCAGTATTAAAATAGGTTTTAATTTTATTGATCATTTTATGCCAATTTTCATAACATTCAAGCAAAAAAGACAAAAATTATGTGAAAAATACACTTTTTGACCAAAAAGGTTCCAAAAAAGCCCTCTGTTAAAGATTTTTAAAAACATTTTTGACGTCATTATTTACAAATTGGAAATATAAAACTTGGTAGCAAATTTCATGAAAATTGGTTGTCGACTTTTGAAAATACAGAAAGGGGGGGATGCACTGTATGCCCCTCCCCCGTCCCTTTACTAGCGAAAAATAGGGGTAAAACAGACTCCTGCCATTTTATACTAATAACTGCTGACAATATTTTTATTCTTGATTCTTAAAGACCATGATAAGAACTCTCTTTCACCTGAGTGTCATTGTTCTAAGACCTGCACTAATGACGCTACGGCGACTTAAAGATCGCTATTTCTATGACTCAACTTTGGGGGTACCCTTAGTGCCGTTGCCTCCTAAGAGCAATTTTTTTCTAAATTTTGAGTACCTGGTTTTAGGTCAGGATACAACCTCAGGACCCTGCAAATTTCATTTCTCTGCTGCTTTCCCCTGTTGAGCAGCAAGCGTTTAAACGTTTGTACCCCAAAATCATAAAAATCACCATTTTTCACTAATAAAAACACATTTTTGGCTCTTTTTTCTGCTACGGAGGTCAGATTGGCCAAATATTTTGTACAACCTCAAGGCTACCTATGACCCACCTACCCCCCAAATTTTAACCAAATCCGCCGACCCCCACCTTGTCACGGTCTGCATGGTCCTCTCGTGGACATACTCTTAAACTACTTAACTATTAATTTTGCGTGTTCCGCGGCTTTGCACTTATGATCTCAGTCATTGAGTACAGGCTAAGACGAATCGTCATGTCTGATACAGCAAGCAATGTACACTGAGGTCAGACTGAGATCATTTGGCGAAATCAGACTTCCAAGTCACTTAACTATTAAATAGAAATCCCTATTTTTCTCGCCATTGTGGTGTATCAATTTCACGGGTGGTTATGTTAGGCTATATTAAAGATAATTCAAACATTTCTTCAACTTCGAACAAGCATACACATTTTTTTTCTGCAGTGCATTCACCGTGATTTAGCAGTCCGTAATATCCTCCTTGATAAAGACATGGTATGCAAGCTGTCCGACTTTGGCCTAGCGCGTGATGTTTCTGAGACACAACAATACGAAAGGACTTCAGTGGTAAGTTAACTTCTAGCCGGCCTTCCTTTTTTTCTCGAGCTTTCATTCATATGTTTGACTACGGTACTTGTATTTTGAACAACAGAGTTGTACACTGTTAAACCTTCTCCATTCTTATATATGGCTAGCCGAGTAAAGTTGGCCCTACAGGTCTAGACCTGTCAACGTCACAGCGCACAATCGATCCGGAAAGGCTATTCGCCGGAAGTCTATTCCGTGTTTTTGGTTCACACAACGGTCCGATTAAGCCCATACATTGGTGTAACGGGGTAATCCTATACGATATCACTGCCCGGCTCTCCTGACCATACAACCGGTCTAAGTCACAAGTGACAGTCAGTCAGTTGGTAGGACAGGTACAAAGAGGACAGTATGGTGGTTCATTGGTACCAACGAATTAATGAACGTCCTCCGTTTGTCCATAAATTGTATTAGCTTAATATGTCAATATCTGATATTTCACGATTGCCTTTCGCAGGGGATGATTCCAGTTCGCTGGTTGGCTATCGAGAGCCTGCTTGACGATGTCTATACCACCATGAGTGATGTCTGGTCATTCGGCATTCTGCTGTGGGAGATTGTGACACTGGGTGCGTCAATTATTTCTGCCTTTTAATAACGGATGCTTTGAAGTTCATAATCGATAGCGTGCCCTCTACCTTCCAGCCGGTGTGGTGCGGAATTATGGCGCAGGAAGGAAAATGACTTGTGTTTGTAATTTGCATCTGTGTTGTTGCCGAGTCCTTCACAAGGCCTCACAAGTCCATCTATATACAATTCACCCAGTCCCAAGTCACACGCTATTCAAATGAACCTTGACAAAGACATTCTCCCTTTACTGTTCATCTGCTGTCACTTGTAACCGGACTTGTGACTTGACGGGTGATTTACTCATTTTGTTTGGAAATGATTTACTCATTTTGTTTGGAGATTGTAGACTTTATTCTTATTTCATGCGCAAGGATGACAGCATACTTGTGTACCGGGCAAATATAAAATGCTATCTTTCCAGCTAATCTCTAGCAAACGCCACATAGATCTGTGACACATATCTTGTCCCACAGGTGCCCACCCCTATCGTGGCTTGCGTGCACGTGACGTAATTGATTCCATAGAACGGGGCTTTCGGTTAGCAAATCCCGCCCACTGCAGCGAACAACTGTAAGTACCTAAAATCGGTTACGATATTGGGATGTGGCAAAGATCATTGGCCAAGTGGAAACAGATAACATTCAGATAACAACAGCATGCAGATCAAATATTTGTGAAAACACCAAGCAAGAGAACATTCACTGGGAGACACAGCTTCAGTAGTCGCATACGACTACTGAAGCTGTGTCTCTGAAATACTACTTAAAAAAACATATGATTTTCTATCAAGTGACTGTTATTTAAGCTATACCTTAAAGAGGATTTTCTTACGCATCCATTCCATTCCATGTATACACTAAGACCCCCCTCCCCCTTTACACTGGGCTGCGACCTTTGGGCCTAGCCTCCCTTGTGCGACCATGAAACTGGCCAGGTCGCCGTTGGAGGCTCAAAGGAGGCCGAGAGGTTGCCTAGGCCATTCAAAGATGGTACACAGGATGTTCAGACATCGCCATGGACGCCATGGTCTTCGTAAATTTTTGAACATGTTAAAAGCAGTCGCACAAAGGTCGCCGAGGAGGTTGGTTGCTCAAAGGTGGCTCAAATGAAGCAGAAGGGAGGCACAAGCATCGCCCGGTTGCAGAATGGATGCACAATGGTCGGCCAATGGTCGCCACGTAATAGATCTGTTCTGTTGCAAATTTTGCTGTCTATCTCGGTGATGCTTCTGCTTCCATATATAGGAGGCAGAAGCATGGCTGAATGGTCGACCAGTGATCGCCGTTAGTTACCAGGTCATCCATATCTCTTCATTTTTGCTGGTCCCATTTGGTCAGCTTGACATCCAATTTGCTCCTATCTCGCTGACTAACTGACGGACTCACTGTCACTTGTAACCTTGTCTGGCTGCCCATCTCATTTTACTGACTGTACTGTGTCGCTTGTGACTTACACTGCCCTGGACCAGCTTGATAAGTCTTGCCTATAATGAGGTAGCATCCTGCAACACATGTGCATTTGTTAGTCTTACGCCCCTTATTCCATCAAGCCTCCATGCGAACGGCGAGAGTAGATTTTTCTTTCACTATCACATTACCACTACAGTTTAGTTTAAGTACCTAAATTGCTTCCGATATTGGGAACTTTCACTCGGGAGGTTACACACTGAGTATACAGTATTTTTACACGTCGGTGAAGGGCAAAGACTAATATTGAACTCAGAACTTTTGGCCATTCTGAATCAACTGAATTGAAATGTGTGTCTTATGTTGAAACAGTTACGAGGTAATGAATAAGACCTGGCAGGAGACGCCTAGCGAACGCCCGACATTTCGCGAATTGAGAGAGACCCTTGAAGGAATGATCCCTGAGGCTCCGGTAAGCATAATTGAGTGGTTAACTCCGTGCATGAAATTTAGCTGACGTAATGGGTGTCCCCCCTCCCCCCCAAAAAGGAAGCCTGTAGGCTCCGCGCACAAAAAAACCCTCATCGGTAAAAAAAGAAAAAAAGAAAAAGAAAGAAGATTTGGATGAGACCACTTGGAGAGACATTCGAACATTGCTGACGACGCCATTGATCTCCGTATACACAGACTGTGTATGGAGATCAATGGACGACACTCAACGCTTACGCGAAGACATGGCTGCTTTGTGCATATTTAGAATACACTTAGTCGTGCGTATTTCGCGATACACGCACGCGAACCACTACGTGCGCACATGCGTACTTTCAAAAGTGGTACTTTCAAAAGCCCTCTCTTATTCAGGCACGGAGCGCATTTTCGGTCTCTCTCTATAGATATAGAATAAAAAGACTCAGCCTCGACTCAAGGGGCGCGTGCTCGTTCCTTACACTAACCCCTGTCTGTGATGATGACGTAAATGACGCTGATTGGCTATTCACAGGTTTCAGGCCGGGCGCGCCGATAATACGCTCGCGTGCTTTGCACGTAACGTCACGTACGAAAAAAAATTGTGATTCAAAAGTAGCAATGCTTGTACGAAATGGATTATGGCAGCCGCGTTTTTCGCTAAAAAAATCCTGTATCTGTGGTTGTAAAAGCACGAAAGGGGTACGTACATCTAATACAAATCTTTGCTAAATAACGCAACGTCCAAACGTTATGTTTGAAAGGATTGTTTCTTCAAATCACAACTTTTAACATTTTAAATATGGCGTCGGCACGTTAAACGGATAAACTGCAGCCCTAATTACAATGTGCCATATTTTGGCACATTTAAATTACACAATTCCAGCGTTTACGATCGCGCATGGCATGATGGGAAACGACATGGCGCAGCAAGATCGTATCCACGGGGCACGAGGTTGAAAAAGACCTCAAAGACGGCCATCTCTGTAAGGAAACTGCAACTGCGTAATTTACGCATTATTTTACTGCGTATCAAGCACGCATTGCGCAGTGTTGAAAATGTTCCAAACACGCGCGCTTATTGCTGGAAATGTGTTCGCAATACGACGCTGCCAATGCGCTTTATGCAAGTTGACGCTCAAAATGCCGATGCACGTGGTTGGTCTGTAGGAATTGAAATCATTTGAGAGAGACCTTGTATGGTCGCTCACTCGTATAGCGCGGGGCACGCCAGCATATTAATTAATTATGCACAAAACCGTAGCGTATTGTTCTATTTGTTTCTGCTTTCTTTGCCATAAAATCCTGACAAGAAGATGCAACATTTCCCGGCGCTACGCGCCGTGAAAACTCAATTTTGCCATATACGTCGTGTACAAAGAGCAGAATTACCATTCGTACATATGAATAATTAATTAGCCATAATTCCAAAACCCTTTAACCTATAGTCGGAAATTTCTTGGGTATTTTCATGATGAGTTGCTCTATGCAATGTACCAAGTTTCAAAATTGTTCGTCACTCGATGACCGAGATTTTACGGAAGGCGGGGCGGAATCCGCCCCCCCCCCCGGCTGAAAGATGGTCAAAATAACCCGGCCTGATTAGGGTTAAAAGTGCCACAGTCAAATGACGGTTTTTACCTCATTTTTGGTCGACAGATTTACCTGGATATGGCGAACTTTGTGGCCGATCAATACGTGGGAAAAAACTCTTGAGCATCTTTACTTCATCTCGTGTCCTCGCCTGACCTCTTCAACACTGTTTGAATGGATAGATCCACTACGCCCGCCCCCTGATGTTTTGACCAATCACAGCTGTGATTATAGTGCGACATGCGTGCACTTGCACGTGACAAGCGCGTCTGAATCATGTAGCAAGGCATAAGCCTATTTGAGGTATGGTGGACACAATAGGAGGGCGCTATTTGGTTTGGGTAAATACAAAGGACTTTACACAAATCAAACAGCGCCCTCCCATTGGGCGGGGCCTACTGGATTAGTCTGCTTGTGTTAAATTACTTCCAAATATTCCTTCACGAAGAAGTAGGTTCCAAAGTATTACGAAGATTAATTTTACATTACAAACAATGCATGCTCTTCTTTTTGCTTCCATGTTAAAAGTTTTCTTTGTGGAGGCAGTTGCTGTCTTTCGTACGGTGGCCCTCGAACGACAGTTTAATATTGACCTTTTTAATATGAACCTTGTAACTTCTTAATATTGACGTTGTACCTTCGCAATATGCACGTTGCACGTAGCTTAATATCGCATTGTGGAAGTTGTTCCTTCTTAATGTGAATGTTCCAACTTGTTAATGTTCACGTTCGATCTTGTCAATGTACACCATTGATCATGCTTGATGTCAACGTTGCACCTTGCTTCTTCGCAATATGAACCATGTACCTTCGCATTGTGAACGTTTGACCTTGCATCTTGTTAATATCATTGTTGAACAGTCCTCCTTCGCAATGTGAATCATGCATTCTAAAAAGTACGAGGTCCTTGTCAAGCCCTACAGTTAGACAACCAGTTATGATGGAGTTTCAATCTGACGGCTGTTTAATGTCACTTAACCTGGTTCTACCTTGTAGTGATTTTATCATGACTCAAGGCTCTCTCTTTTATTTCACTCATCTTTTATAATTCATGTTCAGGCTAACCATAACCCAAGGTTGGGCATACATGTAAAAACATACATCCTGAAGCAAATTTGTCATTGTTTCAAATAACCCGATCTAATCATTTCAACCGTTTATTATACACAAATTTATACCGGTTCGCTTTCTGAATGTTATGATTTCTTTCTTCCTGTACTTTCATCTTTGCCATATCCCAATAATTTTTGACTCGCCAACAGGGCTCCTTACCAAATAGTATGAGGATCCCCGCTGTTTGACGAGCATTTGGTTTTCGGGCTACTGCTAAGTCGAACCCTACATACCCCCCCCCCCCCTCCCTTTCCCCGGATATCCGCGCCTGACCGCAACATGAAGAATATTCGCAATTGGCTGACGACCAGTCATGTATGCATGAACTCCAAACAACTTCGAATAGGGTGCCCCGGCAACACGTGATTCGCACTCAACGCAACGGTGCGGTCGTGATGCGGCGCTCTCTCGCGGTGGCGGGTTATCGCTGCAGTGGGTAATTGCGCATTCAACCATAAAAACGTCTAGCCCCTAGACAAGCTCGAGTATGCTGAAGGTGTATGCACTGAATAAACAATTAAATAATTGACCGAAGCCACCCGTGCCCCGCGCGCTATCGCTTTTACAATGATTGACGGAAATGGGACCGTTGGTGAAATCCCCGATATTTCCCCGAAGTAATAAATACCAATGTATGCCCTTACTATTGTTGTCATGCCTTATAAGACGTGGATATTATTTCGTAACGGTACCACCGCATATAAATGATGTTCCTTTCAATTACATCTTAAGATCATACTCTTATACTAATTAAATACGCAGATCTCGACGGAAATCTCCCGTAACTATGATTAAAAACAAAAAAAATCTGAATAGGGCTTGAAGGATGTAAAGTATTATGATAAAAACCTTCTTAACGTGATCACAGAACACTGTTTTGCATTATTGTAATTGGCAGAGAGTATACCGTCAAGAAGTTAATTAGTCTCATGAATTGAACACATCTTTTCTAGTGAAACAGCGCTCATTAGCCTGAACATGAATTATAAAAGATATGTGACATAAATCAGAGAGCCTTGATTCATGACAAAAATCACTACAAGGTAGAACCAGGTTAAGTGACATGAAACAGCTGTTGAAACTCCATCATAACTGGTTGTTTAACTGTAGGGCTTGACAAGGACTTCGTACTTTTTATAATGCATGATTCACATTGCGAAGGAGGACGGTTCAACAATGATATTAACAAGATACAAGGTCAAACGTTCACAATGCGAAGGTACATGGTTCATTTTGCGAAGAAGCAAGGTGCAACGTTGACATCAAGCATGATCAATGGTGTACATTGACAAGATCGAACGTGAGCATTAACAATTTGGAACATTCGCATTAAGAAGGAACAACTTCCACATTGAAATATTAAGCTACGTGCAACGTGCATATTGCGAAGGTACAACGTCAATATTAAGAAGTTACAAGGTTCATATTAAAAAGGTCAATATTAAAATGTCGTTCCAGGGCCACCGTACATTTTAATTTGATGAGGACAGTGTACATGTACATTTAAGAATAGTGATCAATAATTATTAACAGCACTTTTGAAGAAGTAAATCCTTAAACGACTCCAAAATGTTTTAATATAAAATACTAAATGGCAGTCATTATAATTGTATATTTCCATTATCGTAATTCCAAAATTTAAACAATCAGTCCTGTAATTGGCCGGTTTTTTTCTGCTGTGTGGATAATAAATAAATAAAATAAGTCATAGCTTATAAGTGATTACAATCACAAACCACGACTAAAAACCAAAACGAAATCTACACAAAAGGTAGAATGAGAGGAATTATTATAAAAATTACAAACGATAGCAGCGCAGCTAAATAAATGAAAGAAACCCTCAATATGATATTGACAGTAAGCTTCAGACGCTGCGGGGGGGGGGGAGTTTAAATCCTCAAAGAGACATGTGGTGAAAGGGTGTGTTAATTATGGCAGAAAATTAAAAGAACCTGTTTCGTTACTAAAACTCAACGAACATGTACATTTCAAAACGTTGACAGAATTTATAGAATTGACATATTCATGTCGTATTCATCGCCGGGGATGCACCTTCTTCCTTTGATCATCCTTGTCTTTCTTACTGGTGAAGACGTACTTGCATCCGGCTCCACACCTTCCTAGATCCTTTTCCTTGAAAACGGGCATGTGTTCACAAGGCAAGTCCCTAGGAAGATGCAGAGCCTCTATGTAAAACAGCAAGGGGTCGAACATTGATAAAGATTGCAATTTACTTCGTCCTACTAGTAATTATTATCGGCCAAAATTTGGTGTATGTAAACGTGTTATTTGTAAATAATGTCAAACTGCTCCGCTTTTAAAAATCTATGTAAATAGTTCATGCGATTATTGCCATTCTTCTGCCTTGATTTCTATAGATGTACATATTATAATAGGATGCACGGCAACAATGTAAATACTCGACCTAATGTATATGAAGCAAATGCCATTGCATGACAATTTTTTTAACAACTAGTTTTGGTTTGTTACAACATTTGTATATATCCAGCACGATTTGGGGCAAAGAAGTACCCCAGTATCCCTATATCCTATACATACAAGCTATGCAGATTGATGACACATTGATGACTAAGGTTTATGACTTTATTTTTTTGTGCGTATATTTCTGTTTGTAAATTGCATAGTTTATATATACATATATATATTGGCTGGGGTTCGGGAGAGCACATCTTTTGATGACAGTTAACTTTTGCTCTTCCCTGGGCAGCCCCTGGTAATGAGATATGTTTACTTCTTTGTTGTCCAAAGATTTAAAATAAAATGAAAATAAAAAGTATGTTTTCATTCAACTTTTTTTCTAATGAAAATAGGCTATTTAATAAAACATCGGGATGTGTAGCTCTATTTTCATCAATTGCATTTTCGAATCTTTAAAATATCTTTCTGTAAAAATTTAATTTACGATCGTGTAGTAAGTGGAAGTTGGACTTAGCCTTTTCTGCCAGACATAGATTGACAGAAAATTATGCAAAACAAAGTTAGGCTAATTCAAGTCATATTTAAGGAAATACCAATCTCCATAATGTTGTTATGTTTGATTAAGTATTCAATAACAAGAATTGTTACTGGGACTGTTTTATTACCAATATTTCAGGACAAAAGCTGTTATTTGACCTTTCCGCTTCCTTATTAGTGGAAAAACTTGTAATTTATGTTACATTTTGCAATCGTTTGGCACACATGAATGTAAACTAATATACCGTAGATCTTAACAATAACTTTTACAGTGTAAGTAGTCAAGTTGATTTTAAGCACCATCAGAACAAGCAATGTACAACCAATGGAGTTCACTTTGAGTCATTTGTGAAGGCAGTCATGCAGTTTCCCAGACTGAAACTATACACTGGTGATTAACTCATAACTACATACATTATTAACCCCTCGATCCGTTTACCGAGTGAATACCTGTGAAAAAAAATCCCCTGTTCAAGAGACCAATAATAATAATTGATTGTTTCAAACCGACAGTTCCTATCGTTTGCATAGATAATGGAGGAATGTTGCATTATCCTGACGCCACTTGTTTTCATCATATTTTACTCAATGTTGAGAAGACATGAATCTGGGACTGAGAAACATTTCCAATTTTGTCAGAAAATTCTTTGAAAATGCACTCGGCTCAAAGACTTCGTACACAACCGAAGAAGTAGCGTCTGACTACTGCATTCTTTCTGTAACGTTTGCCGGATGAGTTCATAGCGCCCTCTCTGTGTTGTCTTAGTTTGAACTATTGAACCCGGAAATCGTCTGCAGCAATCGTCCAATTAAATGCCTAAACGGTGTTGTGCGTGAAGTGCGAATCTAACTATCCATGTACGGATGTAGGCTTGTAGGCATACACGAGCTTAGGTGATAGTGATATACATGTACATAGCTACATGCATGGTTGAATGGAAATGAATTATGTTTACTAGTTTGGTCCTGTGGTTTGGTTTTATCAGTAATTTCTGCTCAGTACTTTGGAATGACTCGTTCTATCGCTGATGGCC